ATGTATGAAGCGAACATCACTAGCGTACTCTAATTTAACGTTATACATAAGTCAATTCATTTCATCTACATAGTGAACAATATGTATTCTCCTACTCTTAACTAAATTTAACTGAATACATTTTGCAAAATTTAATCTTTTGTATTGTATAAGTGTTTTCTTTCTTGTATTTTATACATGTTTGCTAAATAAAAAGTTTTTAACGGTGATTGATATGAATCTTTTATTATTATTATTATTTATATTTGAACAAGAATTCATTGTATTCATTTAGTGGTTGCTGATCGATTTCTGTCAATCAAGTTACAATATAACCATTATGATGAATGGGTCAACATTTCATAGGGTGTGTTTTAATATTGGCCGGAATCACTCGATTTATGATTCATATATTTGTAATCTTGAGGGAACTGATATTTTCTGATGAATTCAACCTACATACCACCTAGTTTTATAGTTCGAGACGTTACCAATGTGCTATTGTAGCTGGATCTGACCTTTTGTGTAATTGGAATCCTAGATGTAGGGTTTCATGTTAACTACATGGAACCACTTGACATTTCAATCCAGTGCACGCGATGTCAAGATACAAAGACTAGTCGCACTAATGAATGACATCATAAAGGACTAAAGAAACATGAACTTCCTCACTAATCAGTAACCAATCAATTGTAAACATTTCAGTCCCATGGGCTGTGATCAGTCTCTGATCAAGTCGCTCAGTGATTATATGCCAAACCATGAGGGTGATTGGTATGGGATCGAATCCTCCAGTTGTTACAAACACACTTGGGTGGAAAGTATCAAATATCATAAAACCTAAGTCCAGGTATTCTTTGTTGAATACGTTTAATCACTTAAAGACTAACTAGGTTTGTCTTATTTTTATGTCTTTTGAAGTTATGCAACGAATCATATTTTGCCAAACTGATTATCCTACTAAATTTTCTTGCTTTAATACTAAAGAGAAGCACACAGTTTGTGAATAAACTTAATATATGAAATTATTTCAAGTAAATTAAGTCATATAAATACGAATTAAACTTTTATGGATTGGCTATCAGTAGTATTTACATCACATCTTAACATAAATACTAATAATTGTTCGTTTTACTTGTAAACAACATTTTTTTAATCTCGAAGCGGATGTTGGTAGAGTATAAACATTTTTTTCATCAATGAAACTATATTCAAGTCAAATTATATTACATTAAAGTCTTATTCTGTATCAGACTAGTCGATGTGTTGTATTATTATTATTATCTGATTACAGCTTTCCTATAACTGCATGATATTACGTAATTAAATTAATTAACTTAATCATTGTATCTCACAAAGGGTAAAATATTTTACACTGTGATATATACATAAAAAGTGTATTCTTACTTTATTATCCACACTATTTTTGACCATAGCCTCCTAATGCCCTGATACGGTCGAGAATGGGGAGAGTTCGCTCGCCCTCTCGAAATACTCTCACATGGCTACGCGTATATAGCCTCTGTCAGGGAAGTCCTACTCACTGCCCTCTCGTGGCGGGGATGTTGTTTACGAAATTGAGAGGACGAAAAGCGGATGTCCGGAGCTTTAACCGGGTTGGTGGACACAGGCAGTTCACCTAGGGGTGTTGGAAAACCCTAATTCCAAACCAATGATGCACATGGGCTACAGTATTCTGAGGGAACGAATGGCGTATGAACCAATCGTTGATCACTGACTACCATGAGACTGCATCTCCTCACGATGCTCCACTTCCTTGTGGATCAGACCTTTAGGTCGAAGGCTCCGGGTGTGGTCCCCTAAGAAAACCACCTGCTTCGGTTCGGACACCAGGGCAGTATCACAGCCGTCACACGAATGAAATGAGATTTGTGTGGTGCATATATATCTGGTGCCCCCTCGTACAAATATCTATGTGTTAAAATAAAATAATTTCAGATCATAAACTGCTTGTTTGTTTGTTTTTTAAAAAGAAAAACATTATCTGGCGTCTCCAAATTATCTAAGTTAAAATATATAGATATTTTATTAGACGTGATGAGCAGACCAAATGCTTAGCAACATTTTCTCAAAAAAAATCAATAATATTTAGGATTTGAGTGTGTTGATAATTGCATCTTTGATGTATGCATGCCTGTGTTCTAAAATCAGACGAATAATGAATATGTGGTCGATACGGCCACAACTATGTCTGAAGCCAGTCTGATTTTCTTGTGTTTGCAGTTCACGAGCCTTTGTTAGGCATCCGATAGTGATTAAGGCTGGTATTTTAAATGCTATATTAGTCAAACTAATCCCTCTATGGTTATCACAGGATGATTTCGATGACAATCAGTGATTGTGACTAATCAGATGGGATTACATCCAACTCCCAGATTTTAGATAAGATATTAGGCAACCTAGTTTCTAAAACTGGACCACCATACTTAAAGACTTCTGGAGCCAATCCATCTGGTCCAGCTTCTCTTCTTCATTTCAGGTTAGCTATAGCTTTTCGAGCTTTAATTGGATTCAGGGGGCCTGTTTTATTGTTCCATTCAGGCTGTTCGGGAATGGTGGGTATCTGTGGAGTTGCCGAAGGCCAGCTGAACTACTCCTTAGTGTTCTACCCATCGTCCTAAACGTCTGGGCTGAGAGCAGATATGAGTGTTGTCTTTTTCCGAGCTCATCTCACTTACACTTGACATCTTAATTCCACTTTGCTTTATTAGTCTGAAAAGCTACCTGGTGTTATTTGTAGCCGCTGCCTTTTCTATCTCTTTTGCTTTCGTTGCCCACCTTTGTTCACGATCGTTCTTTAGAATTTCGGTTAACGTGGATCTAATTTATTTACGCTCTTCATTGTTTTCGGAGCCTGATGGAATGAGTTAACGAGAATCGTCCCAGTTAGGCAACCTTAAACTCGGTCAGCACTTTCATATCAACCGAAAGCTTATAACTCGTCGAATTTACACTAAAAATATATTATATGCTGATTTTCAGCTATAAAATAGTAAATTCGTCTATTTTCACTAAATAATGTTATGATCATTGAAAATTCACATTGTGCACTACCGATATTAACACTCAATTTTACATCGCGATAACACCAAAATCCTTCTAAACTGATATGAACTGTTGTCGTTTTCACTATCCGTTGATTAATTTTATCTACCACGCCACCACTAACACTCACAGCTATCCGTATACACGAATATCAAGCTCATTACTCACACAGTTCATACTTACATTTTATGTAATTTTACGCATATTATCAGTATGCATCATTTATAAGAACTTTCGTCTAAATTTGATCTAATAGTTTCACAGTATTTGGGTACCTAGTTGATGTGAGATATTATAGAGGAAAAATTTATCATTGTTTTGAAATCAGAACTTTTTGACTGATTTTAGTGGATCGTATTTGTCCATGAATTTGGTTCATGTGCGTGATGTTATAATGTGATTAAATTGCATGTATGATATTTTATCCTGTTGGTCAATAAAGTAAAGCTGTTTTCCTACTCCAGATTTTAATTCATTTTGCTATATGTCCTGAATAATCTTATTGGAGGATTCATTTTGCTCTTGACTTCAAATACCCTGGTACGGCCGAGAGTGGGGAGAGTTCGCTCGTCCTCTTAAAATGCTCTTGTGGAGGCCCGTTATTTAATCGTCATTTAGATCGAACGGTGTTGTTGAAACGGCTCGTGATCTGACTCTAAGGTGATTATAATGATGATTGTTGTTGAAATATATATCGCCTATCTTCCTATATAATCATCGACTTAAATCGCGTTAGTCAATAACGGAATTAAATAAGTCGAATAACGAGAATGGACTTGTGAATACATGTATTTTCTATACGAAGCGAATGGAATAGAGAGAAGAGAAACGACACAGAGTGGAGATGGCTAGTAAGCCATTTCCTATTTAATCAAGAGTTAATCAATAATTATAGTTACACAAAAGTAAGTTACAGACATTTGATGAGTAATGAGATAAGAAATGTACACACACCTATGCGCTCATATAAAAACAGTGAAGATTGATAAGCGATTATATAACAAGGTTAGAATGTGACTCAAGTAGAATGAATAGAATGGGCTGTCCGAAAGCTAGAATAAGGCATATGGGCTTAACATAATAACCAACACTCACTCTCACATGGTCACGCGTATATAGCCTCTGCCAGGGAAGTCCTACTCACTGCCTTCTCGCAACACGGGTGTTTACGAAATTGAGAGGCTGAAAAACGAATGTCCGGAGCTTTAACCGGGTTGGTGGACAAGGAGAGTTCACCTAAAGGAGTTGGAGCTTCAGAATCCTGGGGGAACAAATAGCGTATGAACCAATCGTTGATCACCGACTACCATGAGCCTGCATCTCCTCACGATGCTCCACTTCCTTGTGGATCAGACCTTTAGGTCGAAGGCTCCGGGTGTGGTCCCCTAAAAAAACCAGTTGCTTCAGTTTGGGTGCGCGGGCAGTATCACAGCCGTCACACGAATGAAATGAGATTTGTGTGGTGCATATATATCTGGTGCCTCCTTGTACAACTATCTATGTGTTAAAATAAGTAAATGAATCAATCAACTCATATCATGCTATCATTTCCCATTATAACATGTGAATTAAATATCCATACGAAGGGTTGTATTTTAATTAAATAGTAGTTCTTATTAGTCATGTGCAACATATTGTCCGTTCATATTTATTTGGTTTAATGAGATATAAAATACTACAAAGATTACTAGTTTTACTTGTCGATACTTGCTTTTATTATCTTACTATTTCAACTGTATATCTATTCAATGTCTCCTATTTATCTAGAACAGTCATGATAACTGATGGTAGACATATATTCATGAATGAGGGGGGGGATAGATCCAATAATGATCAGTCTAATATATTTTTTTTGTGACTAATTTATTTTCTTCAATAAAAATTTCCGTTAAATTTACGTATCTTGTTGTTAAGTTATAAATTATCCATCATTATCTCATTTGTTTTACTACTAGGTCGTGTTGATTTAGAACATTGTGAATGTATTATTGAAAATGTGAATATTGGTCAACCATGTGCATTTTCAATTTCAACATTATTTAATGGAAATAAAAGAATTTATTATTTTATAGCAGCAAATAATAAAATCATGTCTGATTGGGTGCGTCATTTAGCTCATGTCGCTGAATTAGTTGATGTTTCTACTACAAGTAAGGTTGTTTTGTTTTTGTTTTTCAATGTCAATTTCTGTTAGTATTAGATTTGTATATGATATATGTCTGTGATTTTAATGGCAGTCATGTATACAATTTGAAGACTGAGTCATGTTGGTAGGTGTAGACTACCTGGTTGGGGACCGCGGGATGATAGCAACCGATGGTTAGAGACCCTAAATGACATGGCTCAGAATCGTTTGCAATGGCGCAGGTGCATAAACTCTTTGTGTTCTTCCAAATTCTAATCTCCTGATTCATCCTTGTCTCTTTTTCTCTTCTCAAATTTATTTCACTGTATTATACTCTTTAAATAACATCTCCAAAACCTAATTATTCCGATTACTGCTTATACTCTTACTACCTCTACCACTACGGGATTCGAATCGACAAGTGTATCTCTGTGCTAATGTGATATGGCAACTCGAACTGATGTACATACGTACGAAGTTCTACGTTGTTAACGACTGATTGACAATTTGAAGAATCATCGATATTGTCAAAGTAGGTATTTTTTTATTTATTTCCCTAAGACATTGACAAATTGATGAAAGTTAAAAATGTCACTTATTCACTATTTTCGATCCAGTTATCATTATTTCCAAGTTTAGCGTTTACCACGTGAAGACAGTAATTTTTTTGAGTTTTCTTGAAAATATGTACAATGAAGATCTGATGCAAACGTAAAGGCAATGATTGGCAAAGCAAGGGTAACATTCCTACAGCTGAAGAACATATGGGACTCAAAACAACTGTCAACCAACATAAAAGTCACAATCTTCAATACGAACGACAAGACAGTTGTATCGTACGAAGCTCAGACTATCATCAAAAGTGTACAAGTATTTATAAACAATTGTCTACACAAGATTACTCAATGTCCATTGACCGGAAACCATCAGCAACAACCTACTGTGGGACATACATACATCACCAATCTGCATCACGAGGCAAGCTAACTTTGAATCTTGAAGGTAAACAGAAAAGAGGAAGATCAAAGAACATATTGTATCGAGAACCGGAAGCAGACATGAAAAAGACGAATAGCAACTGGAAACAACCGGGAGGGATTGTCCATGAATGAGTTGTATGGAGAATGCTGGTGATTGGCCTATGCTCCTCCACGAGGGGCAACAGGCGTAAGTAATAAGTTGAAAATAACTATGGAGTACTGACTTATTGTTGACACGTCTTTAATATTTCCAGCTGTCAGAAAAGTCTTGTTAAAAATATGTAGTATGTATTCAAGTTTCTATACCTATGGCTACAAGCTTTCATTAACTTTGGTAGTCAGAATATGTGTTACATTTGCTTATGTACAATATTGCCTTAAACACGTGTTTGTTATAAAAAAATATCGGAGCGTGCTAACCAAACAGTACATGGTATCAGTCTGTGAAGTCATTTAAATTGTGTCGAAATTCACAGACATTTGGTTGGAGATCAAGAATTACTCGTCATTAATAGTAGTTCGAGACGTTAGGTGGTTATATGTTTAAACTGTCTCCCTCATAGTTTCGTATCCATTACAATTAAAATGGGATTTTCTTCTTCACTCCTCATCTCCATATTTTTTTTACTTTCTTACTATGTTGAATCTATACTTATTCATATTATAACTGACTAATTTTTATCGTATTTGTTTTCCTACAACAATGGATGTTATTCTTTTTTTCAAGACTCATGATCTATTCATTTTTTACATTTTATCTCTCTCTATATGCCCATATAAAGTATGGTGAATTGGATCGATAGGCATTTTATCCATAACCTTCTACATTTTCAGATTGGCATTCCCTATGAATCTACTAAAAAAAAAACATGATAGATAGAAGGAGATTTTTACTATCAGTGACTTATTATACAACAGACTCGACTACGTACTTTGGTTTGAACAGAAGTGTAGAAGTTTTACTATTTACCGATCACCCAACTAAGTTCATACGTTGGTGTTAACAGATAAGTAACATTAACAAATGTGTCTTATTAAAAATACTCCATCGAAATAACTAAAACGAGAATATTTCTTATTTTTCTATCCACATTTCTTTCTTCAATTTAATGAATATTTATTTGTTTTTTTTTAAAGATGTCACTCCCAATCAAAGAACTGTTGTTGAAAACATTAACAGCAACCGAAGTGCTGGTGGTGTTTGTAATGAACTGCCTTTATTTGAGAGACCGTCCAAAATTTCTCCAGATAATAATGCTCATGGTAATAATAATGATAATGGCGTACATTCCAGGAATCCGAATGGTGGAGAAATAGGGACTAAGTCCCCTAATAATCAGCATCAATCACTGAGCAATAATCATGTGAATAGAGATAATGATAATGGTGAAGATGATTACAAAGAGGTTATCGGTGGAGTAAGCGAAAGTTAATTTTATCATTTATTGTGAGAACAAGTATTCTTAGCTGTGTGGTTTGAGGTAGTCGTTAGGATTCCATAAACGTCGTTCCCATGCTGCTCAACTATCAAATAGCAACGGATTACTGCGTTCTTCATTGACTTGATGCTCCTTGTGTTATTTTCACCCACATCACTTAGGTTCACAGTCTGAGACGTGATTCTGGATCTCAGCTGTGGTGCTATGCAGTCTCCTACGGAGAGGATCATTCATGGGCCATATATTTTTAGAATGGCGTTCGAGATTGTGAAACTCAGCGAAACTTGTCTGAATCATATTGAGTACCAGGTCCTTCGAAAATCCAGTAATGCTCTGCGCATAGATTGTCGATCAGCAAGAAACCTAGATCTAAGGATTCCTGGCGATTACATCTAACCACTTAACATCTTAACATAGTGAATGCGGTGTTGATTCACTCAGACAAGTGGTTGCGTTACAACCGGTAGAATTCCACAGGCACTAGATGACTAGATGGACATGGAACTCAATGATCAGTTAGTTGGTTTTTTTCAAATGTTACAAAAATTGCATCACTCTATCATATATTTAACATTCTCTAATCGGTGATTTGAACTTACAGATCTCTACGATAATGACCGATTGTCTAGACATATAATTTCGGCTGGTAACAATCTTTTAAAACAGTCACATTTATAAATGTGATAAATCACATGAATTAATGTTTTGTCCATTGGAAAAATTCGTGATTGAATTGTGTTTTTTAGTGATTGTTTATGTGATCCACTAAATAACAAGTTATCATCAGCACAGTTGTTATCAAGTAGAGTAAGCATTAAAAACCAAGGTATCACAACAATTAGGTGTTTCTCATTCGTTTAAGTTTCCTCAGCCACACATCCCCACAAGTTTCCCTACATATGAGAAATCGAATCCCAGACCCTCAGCTGCTTTCATGGTGACCTTGTTAACTTTAGAGTATTACGTTCGAATCCACTTGCTGTTCAATTCCCAAATATATTGAATCTGTATTTATAATGCATTAGTCTGAGTTTCTGTGTTTGATTGGCAGCTTTAAAGGTGTAAAGTTTAATTGGGCGAATCTGTCACTGGATACGTGGAAGTAAACTTTAGAAACACTAGGCGATTAGCCGACTTTTAAAAACTTTCATAGGAAGTTCAAACTGTTTAGCTGAAAAGCAAGCACCTAATATAGTGATTTTTAGATGATAAGTTGTTAGAACTATTAGTAATAGTACTATAATGTAAATGTATAATCTATAGTATCTTCAATAATTTACGTATTAATCATTATCGTATACTATTAGTTTGCAGACTTCTAAATAACCACTGATATCTTTATTGTAGTTTGGTTATCTATTTTTCTTAACATCGTCAAACTTAATTTATCCTTTTTTGAGTTTGCTATTTACTGATCTGCTTGTCAATCAAACGATCAATATTATTTTTAGGAGTTCTCATATTAACACATGATTTTATTTATACCTTAATAACCGATCAGTACCAGTTTAATTATGCTTGATGTTTATAGTCTCTTAAATTGAGCATTATGACTGTAAAAGTTTTATTAGTATAAAAGGTCTACGGCCACCATTGATTGATCACTAGCATCACCCAGTCCATTAAGCTGGATTTAAATCCCACAGTGAGCGTCGGTTTCCTTAAGATTGCAGGAACGCCTTACTAACTGGTGCTAACTTGTTCGAAACTTATATTTGAGGTTTCCAGCTGATCACTTCTAGCCACCTAGCTGGTTTATGATTATCGGTGAAGCATCTTTCCTGAGGAAACTATCAGTTTGTCAAACTTAATGTATTGAATATAATTCATCAGCCACTTGTACCATCATAATTAATTTGATATGGAACAGTTTATGTCGAGTATCTATCAACACTTTTAATCTAAAGAGCCTCACGTCTCATGTTTTTCTATTTTTGAAGAAGTTGGACCCCGATTTTAATATGTTAAACTGTGAAAATCACGTTTTTTTCTTGTCCATTTCCTGTGCTGCTGCGATACCTATGATAACTTGAATCAAAACACCATAGAATAATTTACCTATCTGATTAACTAAATATATCTGCATTACAGAGAAGCTTAAGTTATTCTCATCGAAAATTTAAATTTAGTAATCATCAATTCAGACACTTTAAGTTATTAAATTACTGAACGTGAACATTCCACCAAAGAATGTTCTCAGGTACGATGTCAGTTTGATGTGTGGGCGAGAATGATAATGATTGGTTGTCAGTCAGTTACAACGTAGGACCAGGTACATATGAACATCAGTCCGAGTTGCCACATCTCATTATCACAGCAAGACGAACACCGGATACATATAAGCAATTAACTCAATAGTGTTTAAGCGAAGTCAAAGAGTGTATACACCTACGCCATTGTGATCGATTCTAAGCCATGTCACCAAGGGTCTCCAATCATTGGTTAAGATAGTCACGCGGCCCCAACCAAGAAGTCTGCATCTACCAACATGGCTCAGACCAGATGTTAGTGTCTTTAAGCACTGATGCCACGTTTTTGTTTGGCCGCCTCAACTTTCTTTCATCCGTCTCTAACACTAGTCAGCATTGCACGACGTGGTAATCGGTGTTCAGGTATACGTAACTCGTGGCTCAACTATCTCAGTCGATGAGGATTCACATCCCCATCAACTGATCTACCATCATTCTCTAATACCCTACGTCTAACCTCACTATTACTTACCCGATGATTGGTTGTCTGCTTAGTCAGACACGTAGATAGTCTGACATGTTACATATGAGTTATTTATCCCCCTATCCTTATTATTATTACTCACTTATTATTGATTGTTTATTGTTGTTGGATTGTGTCGGGTTTTTGGTGTGGAAATATATTTACGTTCTAGTAAGGCTAATCACGTGTTCTTGATCTGAGTTGTGTTGAAGTCCTGTAGAATAGACACTGGGAGGGAATCTAGTGTAGATATTCGTCTGCGGTAAATTAACGTCCCATACGTGTAAACCTGGAAAACCAACCGTTATAACACATTTTATTGAATAGTCACGAAAACGTTTTCCAATTGCCTTATTATGATATATGTTTGACTTAATGATACTATGGTTATCATATAATCTAATGCTGATTAGTTATCAGTATCTCATGTTTAGCCGTCAATATCGTCTTTAAGTTTTCGATTTGATCATGAAGCCTTATTTTGATGTGATCTGTTTTATCCACAGGATCATTAAAAGTGATGATCTAATGGTGAAACATTGAACCAAATTTTTGTGTTTGTTTTCAATCCTCAGCACATGACAATAATAGTGATTTAGTAATCTCCAAGTTCTAATCAGTTACAAATTCATATATCTTTTAACGGTTGACCCTAACCTGATGTTCTAGAACAAAAGTACTAATAATGCATATGAAGCTTAATACGAAAAGCTGTATCTAAAGTTACATAAATCATGCATAATTATGCATAATACTTAAGTGATCCTGACAAAAATATGTAGGCAATGACGTTAGATGAACAATTCGTTTATTTATAATAACCTTCCAATGTTTTCGTTTCTCATGTCCATGTGACTATGAGACAGATTCTGGTTGTGTTTATTTTAAAAAATAGTTCATCCTATCACCAAGTTTATGTGTTCATCTATAAGTAGTTTCAATTTCATTGTAAGTTGTAATAATTTATCTTGACTATTCAGATGGGATTTTATGAATCGATTGTTTTAATCCTTAAACTTTTAGCTCGCATCACATAACCACTATTCCATAATTCCTTAGAGAATTTTATTGTTATTGGTTAAACTTATTGTTAATTACCATGTTATTTGATGGAGTTTTGTTCTCTGAGCACAGAGAACAAAACTCCACCTAAGTTACAAATCTTCTCCACCATCTCAAAATCATGTTTTTTCTTTCTTGTCTTAAGGTTGATTACTTATTGTCTGGTTCTGAATTATTATTAGACGATTATCATCATGTAAGTTAGATTTGCTTCTTTCAGTGTAGTTTTTTTTAAAGACAACGAAATTTCAACCTTTATATATGTAACGTTTCTTATCATATTTGTATAATAATGGAATGTTTTATTATTACACATTCCTAGCTCATCAGTATACTAATAAAACTATCTGTAATTGGTCCATAGTTTGCATAAACAAAACGAATGAGTTTTATGCGATTAGGCCAAGATTGTTCTCCTCAACGTTTTGAATATTTAATAAATGTGGTGCATCTATCACTTTTAACCATTACATTGTCCACTTAAATGGTGATTGCCACATATTAGTGGACTGTTTGTACTAAATACAATGATAACATTGGTCCTTACTTACTGATCAATCTATGTAAAAATCTTTGTCCTATAAGAGTTTAATCTCGTCTCCAATAGATCAATGGTTAAATTAGACTATAACTCATTAGTTGAAGGGAGTTAAAATCAAATTACAGTTCCTCTTGTTAGTAAATACCAATTAACACGAAACCAAGATTAAGTAGAAATTCCCGGCTTTATTTCATATATAATTGTTCCATTATGAATATTGTCTTGAACAATACCATATTCTCTTTGCCAATGCAAACATTAAAGAGGATTTTTGTTCCTGTATGTGTTTATGTTGTATGTTTGACACTGCATTTCTGGTCGTTCTTTCTCTTGCTATGTGATCATAACTAGATCATTATTGTTTCATACAATTTATTCAGCAAAGATTGTAAATAATACATCACACTTTTAACCACCAAGGTATTTGATGTATTATTGAAAAATAACCAAATAATGCAATTCAAACTATACAATTAATATGATTAATAATTCTATCGTACGATTGCATTTATTATTAATGTTATATTTATGAATAAGGTAACATGTTATTTTGTTGCTATGATGTAATAACATTGTGTATACCCTTCTATGAACATCATGTTCAATTTTTCAACACATTGTTAAATATGTATACATAGATTGATATACTCACACATGGTGCTCAAAATAAACTGAATTATGATTATTTACAAAAAAAAACAGTTGTCATGACATCGTTTTCACATAAGTTTTGTTCTCTCACTTTTTTTTGATTTTGAAAGTTTATCCAGATAAATTCTAGGCTGAATTCAGTTGATTTAAACAAATTTTTTGTTTGTTTGTATATTTATTCTTCAAAAAAAAACAAAAAAAAACAAACCCAGATCTAATTAACCTAAACGTATGTATATGTGTGTAGTGTGTGTTCTAATGAGATCATATTAGAATGATTTTTAATCACCGAGTGAAGGGGTAGGCATATGTGTTTATGTGGTTACGTGAATTACTAAAGTTACAATGTGTTTAACTTTCATTAATTTATTGTTTATTGTATATCATCACATGTAATCAGTTCGTTTTAATTCTAAATTTTATGAGTGAATTGTTCTAATGAAGTACTGATAAGATAGCATATATGACAGAGAATAGTTGTAACTTTGAATGAGATGTTTTGAAGTGTTTTTTTTGTTTTGTTTTGAGCTGAATCGTTCTTAACCCTGAGCCTTTCATTGTCTCTGTAGACAAAATCATCAATACATAATTCAAACAGTAATGATCTATTAAAACTTATTAACATCATGTACTATGAACTTGCTATTTGACTGATTGTTATCTATAATTGTGCGGTAGTTGTTTTCAAGTTTATCATTTTGCTTCTTGGGAAGTAGATTTGGTCGACTTCATTATGTTCATTGATCGTAGTGCCATGCTTCCAAAAATTCTTTGGTTTACTCGATGTTCAATCAGTCCAATATTCTGAAGCTTTCTCAGTCGAACTCATGTCCATAGCTGTTTATATGCTTTGTCGTATCATCTAACAGCCAGTGTTCATGTAGAAAGGTAGACGGGAAGGGAAACCACTTTGTTCTGTATAGTGTTTCTCGCAGTTGACGGAATTTATCTTGTTGATAATCTTCAGGTTGTCTTCGTTTGTCGTTGTTTTCTTTAGTTTGCATAATATTGATTATAGAGAATTTTAGTCCTCCATAATGATGATCTACAATTGTGTTAAAGACTTTTAGGGGAACGCCAGTATTTGTTTCAAGTGGTTATATTTTATTGCCACTTATATAGTAATACTGTAATCAAAGTAGTACAAATCAAAGTCTGAACAGGGGAGATATTTCTGTTTCACTGATTAATGGCTAAGAATGTCATATTTTTAATTTACAAGGTTCTGTATTGTTTATCATTGACCGACTGACATTTTCCAGACGTATTCTGTTTATAATTCTTTATTAATGTAAAATGTTATATAATAACTGTATTTTGTCAGTAGTATGCTTTTCCTGTTTGACTTTTTTCCTCTTAATTGAATGAATGTTGATGTATTCGATCCTTGGTAAAATATTCACTGAGGTATGGGTTGTTGTATGAAATATGAGTGGAATAGACGTCGATGTCTTTTGTTTTTATCCATGAGTGAAAGTGGAAATGGTCGTTTTCATTGTTTGTTGTTGGAAATTTGTGGTCAAGATTTTCGCAGTACTTCAGTGTCCAGAATCAATTATCTGTTTATTAACCATTAAATTATAAATTATCCTCTCACATCATCTACCTAATAAGACCATGTGGAGAGGATAAGCGTGAAATAATGGGACAACCAAAATGTCTACCTTCTTAATAATAATTGGATTATTTGGAAGAGTGAAACCATTGACGAAACCAGTGGATTGTCAAATATGAGGGGTATTTTCAAGGGTATATGTGTGATTTATCTTTAATTTTTCCATATGGTTTTTAAGACAGTTATTATATGGATTGAATAATAAAACTCAGTAGACAATTAGAAATGATGTTATCGGATTCGAATCCCCTCTATATTATATGAAAGTCATAAATCATATACTTGTTTGATCCAATCTGGTACATGAAGTGTACTATAATTACTTATATATTGAGAAAACACAGATTGCTTAGATTGCTTTGGTTCCTGTGTAATCAGACCATAATGAGTAGTAGCTCTCTCTCCAGTCCGACTATCGGTCAGTCCACCTTTATTGCCATGTGACCTAATTACTGATTGAACGACAACAGAGACCATAACGCTCGTTGTTCATGAGCTTTTTCTAACCCAGTAGCCTATCAGTTCTCTGCTATACTCACTTCAAACATAACTCAAAACCCATACAATAATATACTCAAAACATTTCACAGCACAGCAACAAATAACTTAACCATAGGTAATCGAAAACGGAAGCGATAAAAAAAAATTGGTTAATAGATGATAAATCTGGAACAATATAACCTAGGAAAATGAGTTATAGGTCAAACATAAGTTTAGAAATAGAAGAATTTAGAAGTACATCAATCTAAGGGTGTACTAAATATACAAAAAAAAAACAGAAATAATAATCCCTTTTATAATTGTCTCAAAGATTATCATACCGCAGTCTTCGTCCTATTCAATCACTTATACATTTATGCATCCATTTTTATTTATTCCTAAAATTAGAAATTTTCTCATTTTTATGATGTTTCTTTCCTACCCTATAAACATTTATTTAGCTTCCGGATTCACGTCACTCCTATGTAAATCTAACTAATGCTGTAGTAACGGAGAAAGAATTCAATATAAATTATTCTTCATTGCCTAGAATAGATAAAATGAAACAAACCACCGGTGATATTACATGCAAATTATCAAATGGTATGAAAATACGCTTTATAATTAATCATTTATCTATGTTGTCTGCTTAATAAATGTACAAACTGTACTATCATGTTCTATATAGGTGATGCTTTGACAAATAAAAAAAACCCTAGGGAACCGAAGGAATGTCAAAGCGGGTGTTTATGAAGATGATCCACTAAAAAAAAGCATTTCTTTTTAAAAGAACGAAGAGAGTGAAAAAAAAACTTTTTAAACATTTTTAAGTGGATCAAATGGTTTTTTATAAAGATTGTTTAGCTTCTAAGTGTGGTTAGAAACCAGGAAGATTGTTCATTTCTTGTGTTGATAGATATATTGAATATGTGTACTGTCTTATGTGTTTTCACTGTCTAAGTGATTGTTGATGAATTGGCTTTGGTAAATAATTATCTTTTCTCATAATTCTGACAAAACAAACGGCAAAGTTGTAGGCAGCTGGACAACTTGATTTCTTTTAACGTAAGTGGGGGTTTTTTTTAATAATGAAAACAGAGATGTGACATATATTCTTATATGAATGAGGGTTATTCAAATTAGGAGCAACCAGCTTTTTTTAAATACAACAATGTATCGGCACAACGTCTCTTGAAATTTATTATTAATACTTATATTTCATGTAAGTAATAACCATTGGCATCTTATTTATTCCCTATTTTGTTGATTGAATTTTATCGACCGAATCACTACATCGAGTGATGTATCTTTACAATGTGTATTTCTTTGATAATTTATAAAATTAGAGGTGATCAACTAAAATCACCTGGTTAACCTGGTTAATTTGTTTCCAATAATTTATTATTATTTGAACACATAAATATTGGTACAAGAGGTCACCAAATATATATGCGCCACACAAAACAATGAGAATTCGAAGATAAAAAAGAACAATAACGAACAGATTAGTGTAAGGTAGTGTAATAATGGTAATAATAATAATAGTAATAATAATAATAATAATGGGGGAACGGAAAGATACAATCAGAAGAAATCTTTCAGTTAGGGAAGAAACAACCATTTTTTTTATGAAGAAAGTAAAAGAAGGTTACAGCAGGATCGCCACTGGCTTCTATTCTGAGCCATATCTGATAACGTCTCTAGCCACTGTGTTGCACCATCTCTAGGTCCTTAGCCAGGGAGTCGTGAAGGTCCAACAGAAGCCAACCCTTTGCAGCTTTCTTTCATACGACGACACCATGTCATGCACTGACCACCTCTCCGCTTTTTCCAACCAGTCCCAGAGTCGGCAAATAATGCACAACGTGGAATTCCAATACACACTGAAATCTTTGTCACTGAATCTCATAGTCTGAAATACTTTACAACTGTACTGTTTAGAATTTTGTTTACGTTATGTTCAGTTTTTGTAGTTACAAATTTAATAGTAAAACAGAGACTATACTCATTTTTTGTGAATCTACATAAATTGACGGAAATTGTTGGTCATGTAACTTGTAACAAAATTAGACTGCAAATTATAAGTAACAAAATATGTACTATTACATAATCAAAGTAATTAAGTAACACCATAGATCAGTTTCTCCCTCTCCTTTACTATCAATGCAATCTATCGATAGTTCGTGTCAAGGTCAATATTGTTTTCGATGCTAGAAAATAGAACACTTAATTGTCAAAGTAACAAATTTTGTATCTTATCCATTAGTAAATAACAATAGTATAAAGCGGATATCACTGTAAAGAATTTTTTGTTGATTTTATTTTAAAGAATGTTGGGTTTTACAAATGATGTTGATGATATTGATAAACTTTGGTCTGTAATATGAATGAGATTACTTACTTACGCCTGTTACTCCTCGTAAACGAGCATGTTTGTAATTACTTCGATGTTTGACTTCAGTGCTTCAGCTGGTATATTGTCGGGTCCTGCTGCTGATATAAATGAGATAATAAGTGAAAAAATACTTTGGTTTTCAACGGCTATTTTTTTCTTTTTAGTAATATTATTAGTCTGTTTTATTCACTTCTTATTTGTCAAGTTAGTCCAAGTTAAAAGTACATCCTACTAAAATTTTCTGTTTCCCGTAGACTGTAATTATAATTCTGTTAGCCATATTATGGGCAACAATTGTTGAACTTATCAATTTGTGTAAAGTTTGTGTATAATTCGAACCTGCTTCATCCAGCTTCATGATGACTACTTCAAACTATCGAAAATCTTAACACATAACGCACTCGATGTCAAGTCACTCAGATTAGTGAACACATTATAACTTGGTTGGTAGGATTAGATCAGTACCAAAGGACTAGACGGACATGATATTGATCACTCAGTGATCGGTCCATTGCAGTTATCATGTTTTTATTTGTCCAATTGTTTTATGCTTTTTTGATGAATAGTTTCTTCTCCTTATGTAGTGTTCTCGTAATTCATATTCTTGAATTTCTTCGACCATTGAATCGTCACTTTAGACATACATTTATGTAATTACTAAGTATTGTAATTCCTATAACAAAACGGTTTTTTTTTGACATTCCTCCTCCTTTATTGTTAATTTGATCACTTATCTGAACGGATGTACACACGCGCCTGACTGACAGACTGTTTACTCATATCCTACCGAGAGGTTCACTTGTTGACTTATAATACGCAGTCTTGTTTGAAGGTGATGACAAATTTATGAGTCGTCTGACCACTTGAAGCAGCACTGCAAATATGTTAATGATACAATTATTTCGTAGTGACTGAAAAATGCTGCTTTGTAGCTGGTCACCATTATCGCATGAATTAGTGATAGAGGGTGAAGTAGTTGACTGCGTCGGCCACTGCACTTGGGATTCTAATCGACTCTGATGGGCTAATATCTCGTGAAATCTCGGAACGGTTCCAGCATTTGCTTATTTACATTATTTGTGCCGTAGATACGGTTTCCATCTGCCAACCAAAGGACGAGTTTAGTGCACAGGAGTTCGTTTCGTTATGCTTCATAAGTGTGTAATTTGGTCATCAGGAATAGAGGATATTTTAGGTTACTAATCTTCGATCATATGTGTCTCCAAAGTATTAACTATATATCTTGGGACCACTGAGTAAATAGTGCTGGAATTAGGCATTGAGTACCAGGTAAAGATGGGATACCTGTTGGTGAGGTAGTAAATATTAATCAACTGTAGTAGTCGGTACGTATGTTATGTATGCTCAACCACCGCCTACCTCGATGGACACAAAATAAGTCCATGAAGTCATTGACTATTGAACTTTGCCATGTATTTAGGTTTAAATTATCATGTTGGGGTCCGTGGGATTATCACAATTACATGACTAGAGACTGGGCGACATGCCTTAGAATCTTTACCGACAGTGCAGGTACATTCATTCTTTGTCTACTCTTATAAACTGAGTTCCGAAATCTCCTTATACCGTGTATATGTATATTTTTTTCTCTGTCATTGAGAGGAAATAAAAGAATTAACTTAGTAGATAGCAAATAATTATTCACTCACTTCATAATACTATACTGAGTTGTACAAATATTATTTGATAGTATCACGACAAGTGATTGAGTAGAAAAAGCAATACTGCTTACAATCCGGTCTTCTGTGTAAAACTGAACAGATTGCATAGTATTGCATAGCCACTCCATAAATTAGTGACAAGTTTGGGTGCGTCATTATGACTAAACTAGTTATGCATGTTATCAAGGTCATTTTTAGTATGGTTCTATCCTTGCAAAAATCTGTCAGTATTGATGGGCTGCAAGAATTATTGTTTAGTTTTTGACAACAAAGCATCTTAAGAACCCTTAATCTCTTTCCTATGCAGAGCCTCGTAGTGAAGTGTTAAGGACAACTTAGTAAGCAACTTGAACTACAGAACAGCAAACCACATCAACTGTAGATTAACCAACGTCATTTTAATTCTCAACGATGGTTTGTAGGTGGCTAAAACCTTATAAAAGTTAGAAATGTCTACTTTTTTCTTTTCAGTATGATTACTGCCTTTGCCATTTTACTGAAATGTTATTAACATGATTGATGTCTGTTCTATTGTTTTTTTCCTAATACCTATCGTTAATATATGTGAACGTTGACCAGAAAACATGAATAATCAGAAGAACAAATATCGTCATGTAAACAATCCTACTAGTACTTCTTCCAAAAACTCTTTAAAGCACCAAAATTCCTCTAACAGTGTCTACTATAATGTCTGGGATTCTGAAGATGGGTCTAAAGGTTAGTAGCTTTTGTTATTGTCATTGTTTTTGTTTTCTTTCACACGAAACATTTTCGCAATGTATCCAACTGTGACTGGATGTTTACTTCACAATGAAGAAGCGATTCAGGGGTTAGGGTATTCAACTTTCGGCTGCTAAGTCTGAGGGTCAAACCCCACTCCACCTATTTCAGTTTGGGCAACTAGGTCATATCACCATCTCTCACACTTGACTCGAAGTGAAGTACATGAATATATATCTGATAAATGAGTTGGGAAATAAAAAGTAGCATCTATATAAAAAGATATTGTTTGTTAAAGTCACCATTATGATGGTGACTAACTATCCATATATTGTTATTCCTGATTAAAACGGTCTGGGACGTTCGTTTCCCGTGATAACTGTTCCTATTAGGTTTCTTGACTTACAAACCCTAGGGGATTTATCATTTACCTTGTTTTCGATAACAGAATTTTGTTTAAATTCTGTCGGATGATCTTGGTTGTGTAGTACAATAAGAATGAATAAGCGATTATCAAAGGCCGAATGCTCTGGGCTAATTTACATAATGCCACAAATCAATTGAAGTTAGAAACGTAAGCACTTGGTTTGGAAAACATATACATGAATGTCTAAAGCTTATGCATGAGTCATGAGACCTGAAGATCCTAGGTTTTATCCTTGATTTATAGCATGGATGCTCACTGCTGAGAATTCATGAACTGGGACGAAATAATTATCTAGTGCTTCTTGGTTTTCACTGGATTACAATCCATGATATATACTACATAGAAATAGTCAATATAAGTTATCTGAACTTATAAAGTATACCGTCGAATTGTGTTATTTTACATAATCCAATAGGATAAACAGACTTGTTTAGAAGTGACAGAGAAATTTCTGTTATTTGCACTAATTACTTAAAATATAGGCTTTATTAGTGTACAAGTTTACACCGATGCATATATGTTCCTGGTCCTACGTTGTAGCTGTCTGACTGATTTATTTGGTAGAAAGTTTCATTGTGTCATGCACATACTCTGAAGGATCAATGTTAAAACTTTTTGTTTATTTTTTATGTAAAGTTACTACTACTACTAACAACTTTACTGCTGTCACAACTGATTCGATTGTTGATTCAGAAATTTATTTAAAACGCAATAATCAAATTACACAGAATACAAGAATTTATCGTAAAAGTCATTGTGCACCAGGAAGTAGTAGTACACTATCAAATTCTCCACTTCTTCATTCATCATTTGATCAAAAATCTAATCGTCAATGTTTACTAATAAAAACTGGGGCAGGGACAAAAACAAATCGTAAACCTGCACCACCACCACGTATGTCACCTTTGAAATCATCGTCTTTTACATTACCATCTACATTTACAAATTCAACTAACGTTTTGTCAGGATTAAAGTATGTTCTTGTGTTTTTTTTTAATGCTTAGTTTTTTTTTTTTTAAGTAGTTGTTGTACAAGGTTTTTCTGTTTGGTTTTATTATGGTGTTTCATGTTCTCGCAGCTTCTGTTCTGAAAATGCCATACCTTCAAAATCCTAATCTTGAGTTACGAATCTCCATTTCATTTTTTTTAAATAGGCCCAGTTAATGATCTTAGGTAGTGGATTAATTTCTAGTGTTATTACCATGCTTTGGAAATCAGTTTAAAACAATCAAGGTAGTCGTTTGACCATGTTCTAAGAATTTTCATAAAATTATGCATTGCCAGTCTAAGATCTCGTCAAATGTTCAATTGAATACTGATTGTTTTCAACTAGAGTAATTTAGTATGTGTTGAGGATCAAGGTTACAATCTTCTAAATATTCTTTCATTTTAGGTATCTCGTTATCGGTTTATGTTTACTTTCGATAATTGTTTTAGAAGTGTTGCCGTTATTTAATAGAAACTACATTACAACTGTGTCAAATGTATTATTATCTTTAATTATCAGCTCCTAATAAATATGAGATAGTTACAACAGATTCAGTTCGTTATTTAGTTTGTATTCGTCTCAAATTGATTTCAGTTGAGGTACCACTGGATAGCTGTCTTGTCCTAGTATAGGACTTCACAGAAGTGTGTGTTTACGACCTTGAAGCCGAGAATCAAATTGTGGATCTACAGGTTTCACGGCGAACGCATGATCTCCAGACGAATGAGTCATAATTCAATACTGTAAAAGTCTAATTTCATTTAATTCATGATACTGCTCGATCATATTCCATTGTATTCATTGGGTAACTTCCTCACATCCGACACAGTTAAACTCTACCTGTCATGTTTTCTCACTGGAACTCTGGAAATGTCCTCTTGAAGTTAGTCACTAGTTAGTGCGTGATATTTATCAGCATACTGTTGTCGAAATAATTCGATTTTATTGGAATCATGAACCCAATAAGGTTGATTGACTAGATTTAGACATGTACATCAGTGGATCCCGGTTCAGTGGTCGAGAGACTAAGCATTTACACTCGAGATTCAGTTTCTGGATGAGAGGTCATGAACGAGCAGTGCTGAGAAGACCCATCTCATGACGAAACAGTCGTGTGGTGCTAACAAGTTTTCAATGGTTGTCTAACTTAGGTCAGTGCGTGATTCCAATGAAATTCCACAACCCCATACTGATTATCATCAATTTTTATTAACTGTGAACACAAGAGGAACTTAAAGCAAGCACATAATTAAGTTACAATTTTACTACGTTTGAAGAGACTACGAGATAACGTAAAATTTGCGAACAAAACGAAAGTCAGCAACACAACGACAAGTCAAGCTAAACTATTCACTGTACCCCAGCCCTGTGAACTAGAGGGAAAAGATCAAATTTAACTGAGAGTAATGTATATTCCACAGGCAGTCGGAAGCACCAACAAACAGGTACACAGCTCAAGCGTATATATAGAGTATAAAGATATCCTTGGGAAACGTCACAAAATAACATTTTAAAAGTGGGAACGAACCAACAACATTTAACGTGTCCTTCCAAATGGTAAATACATTCTAAAGATAAAAGTTGGCGCTTTCGGCGCGAAAATGAGAGATTGAAATTTCCAAAATAAACTTACAAAAACAAAACATTTACCAAGTGATTTCTGGTGATCTAGCATCCCCGACAAATTTGTTCATCTTCAAAGTAATTGAACAGTTGAGAGTGTAATGGGTATTTAACTACGTGACGAATTCTTGATTTATTTATTTGAACACATAAATACTGGTATGAGGAGGCACCAGATACATGTGCGCCACACAAATCTCATTTCATTCGTGTGAGGGCTGTGATACTGCCCGCGTACCCAAACTGAAGCAACTGTTTTTTTTAGGGGACCACACCCGGAGCATTCGACCTAAAGGTCTGATCCACAAGGAAGTGAAGCATCGTAAGGAGATGCAATCCCGTGGTAGTCGGTGACCAACAATAGGTCTATACGTCATTCGTTCCCTCAAGGTACTGGAGCCCATATCACCATTGGCTTGGAGTCAGGGTTTCCCAACTCCTTTAGGTGGACTCTCCATATCCACCAACCCGATGAAAGCTCTGGACTTTCGCTTTTCGTCCTCTCAATTTTGTTAACAACACCCGTGTTGCGAGAAGGCAGTGAGTAGGATTTTCCAGGCAGAGGCTATATACGCGTGACCATGTGAGAGCATTCGGAGAGGGAGAGAGGACTGTCTTCACTCTCGGCCGTACCAAGGCGTTTGGGGCCAATCTGTACTCCGGGAGAGGCACGAACTCTCGACCTCCGCACCATAATTACAGATTATAAGTACGAATTCTTATCTAACATATAATTCTTTCAGTAAAATAGTTCACATATCCTCAACAGTAGTCATATATATATCAAACAGCCTACATTTCAAGTATATTCAGTCTATGTTGGATAAGTGAAAATTGTTATTTTTAAAAAGGCTAAACATACATATTCATCATGTACAATTGGGCTGAGAGGCCGAAAGAGCATTGTTGCTCATCTTAATTGTGAGATTTAATTAGCTTAACAATAGTGGTGATTCATAACGAAAATATTTACATAAAATCCGTTGTCAGATGAATGAAAATACTAAATGATAATACTTTAAAGAAAAATAATAAATATCGAACATGTATTAGCAGGACTAACCAAGGTCAACAAGCCTCCTGTCCTTTTCCAAATGGAAACTGATTCCGAGGTTTTATACTTGTATTTAACTAGTGGCTAACTGACTGACTATTAGTTTTTGAACTTAATTTGTTTTTCGATTTAGCCTGTTGAAAATTCTCATACATACATCGTAAAAGATAAAAATGTATAGTATGGAGACAAGTTAATGAGAATGGAAAATATGTATTTTAGGGGTTTTCAGCTAGATTAAAAACAAAGCCAGAAATTAATTAGTTTAGTTTGTTGATAGTAAACTAGGTAAAGAGATTTTATGTGTCGAAAGTACTTAGTATCATAAACACTTCTGGAAGGCATTAAGGTGAGATCATATTCATATTTATTATTTATTTGTTTAAACACATAAACATTGTTACAAAGAGGCACCAGATAGATATGCGCCACATGAACCATTCGATTTGTGTGAGGGATGGAATACTGCTTGGGTGTCAAAAACCTAAGCAGGTGGTTTTCTTAGTGGGCCACACCCGGAGCCTTTGACCTAGGGGTCTAATCTATAAGTCAGTGGAACAATGTCAGGAGAAGCAGTTTCATGGTAGCCGGTGACCAACAATAGGTTCACACACCATTTATTCCCTCAGGATGCTGGAGCCCGTGTGGAACGTTGTTTGTAATCAGGATTTTTTTAAATTCCCCTAGGTGGATCCTCCATATCCATCAGCAGGTTTAATGCAACGGATAATCGCTTTTCATCCTCTCAATTTTGTAAACGACAGCCGTGTTGCGAGAAGGCAGTGAGTAGGATTTCTCTGGCAGTGATTTTATACGCGTGGCCATATGGAAGCTTTTCGATAGGGGGAGCTGACTCTCCACACTCTCGGCTGTACTAGGGCATTTGGGGGTGATCATATTCATCCCAATGCAAAAACATTTAAAATTCATATACTTAGTTGTATCAATTTTATTAAATCTGGACTAATTAAACTAAGAACGTAACATTTTTTCAAGTTATCATTCATTAAATGAATTGTGATCTGATGAACTTAAACAATTTAGGGAATATGTTTCTTATATTATCGAAAAACAATCAGACAAAACTAAACTTAAATGCTTAGAAATTTTATAACCAGTAGAAATCTTTTAATCACTAATCAAATTTTCATTTTAGTTTTTTGTAGTTATGCAAAAATCCCCCTGTTTTAGGTTATAACTTTGTAAAGAATTATTTTCATTCTCTTTCGTTCTTTTCACATAAACATATATTATAGTTTAGAATCACCATTACCAGTTCGTGCAAAAGGATTGGATATGTCTGTAGATAGTAGTTTAAATAGTAGTAGTAGTAGTAGTAGTACTTGTAGTGATGTGAATATCTCCATCCTAAACGACACAACTCATGAAAATGCTGATGATGATCGCGGTAAAAATGAGTTTGATAATAATAACGGTGATAATCTGGATCGAAATCACAATATGATAGATAAGGAGATCAACGAAGACAATAAAGAGAATAGAATACAATCAGTAGATCATCATTGTAACATAAATGTATTGGATAAAAATCAAGTAAGTATTTATATATTTTTTCATCGATATGATATTTGTCTTTTGATTCATCCATCATCATTGATTGAAAAACTGTTCAAATAACTTGATATAAGAACTGGCTAAATATTTCTCACTGAAGAGAAATTTCGCATTATGAATTAAAATAGCACAGAGATGATTGTCTCAGATTAACCAGCGATGTTTATCTCTACTATATATATATAGGGAATAAACTAGTTAGAATTGTAAACCATAGTAACTCAGTAGTCTAGAGGTTAAAACACTCACTGCCTAACCTCAAGTTTCTAGTTTCAATACCTGCTGAGCAATCTCATTATAGTATGTAATATTGTGGTGCGTGCTACTTATATTGATATAAGTAGTATATAACGTGAGTAAAAAGAACGTAATGTCTGACAGCAGAAGATGGAGAAGATCAAGAAAGGAAGAGCGAGAACACAATGGAATTTGTAAGAAATCGCATGAACAATGAAATGTGAGACAATGGATTGATGTTTGCAACAGCAGCAGTCCGGTTTTATATGATGGAATGATATTTTGCAAATTAACGATTTACTATATGGATTTTCTATTTTATCAAGTAATTCTGTAATTTGTACTTCATACAACTTGGTTGTCCTCACCCATGTCCTCCTTCACTACAATATCTGCTCAGTGTTTCCTGGTTCTTAATGGTTATTTAACTCATGTTAATCCAGTGCACGATACAAAAACCTTAAATTCAACAATCTAAAGAACATTTTACACTAACATTGTCATTATTACCAAGTTATTATGACTAACCGGTATTTAATGATAAAAAGCAGATCAACACCATGATTATGATAATATGACTTTTACTTATTATTACCATTGAAATCTCTACTTACTAAATAACATAAAGTTATTCAACTAACTGTTTTGTTCGACTGTTACTTGACTTATTAACTAATAAAACAGTTAAATCCTTTAGAAAATTCTCATTATGTATGTGCATATTTGTTGTTTTACCTTAAGAATTTCTACTAGTTTAAAATTTCATCAAGTTATTAACTCTTATTTTAGAGTGTCTCTTGTTTCGTTAGTAAGTCAATTATTTATTTATTTAAACACTTAAACATTGATACGAGGAGTCACCAAATATATATGTACCACACAAGTTATTCGATTTGTGTGAGGGCTGAGGTACTGCCCGGGTGCCCAAAACCGAAGCAACTGGTTTTCTTAGGGAGCCACACCCAGAGTCTTTGACCTAAAGGTCTGATCCACAAGTCAGTGGAACAATGTCAGGAGATGCAGTCTCATGATAGCCGGTGACCAAAAATATGTTCATACACCATTTATTCCCTCAGGATACTGGAGCCCGTGTGGAACACTGGTTTGTAATCAGGGTTTTTTTAATTCCTCTAGGTGGATCCTCCATATCCACCAGCAGGTTTAATGCAACGGACAATCGCTTTTCATCCTCTCAATTTTGTAAACGACAGCCGTGTTGCGAGAAGGCAGTCAATAGGACCTCTCTGACAGTGGCTTTATATACGTGGCCATGTGAGAGCATTTCAAGAGTGAGACTGGACTTTCCACATATTAGGCCGTACCAGGGGATTTGGTGCCTCCTTGTACCAATTTTTATGTGCTTAAATAAGTAAATTGTAGTAAGTCACTCATCGTAATATAGAGCCTAATACTAATATGCGTTAACTTGAACTGCTTTATCAATTAAGCACAATGAGATGAAATTAACAAGTGTCTATGTAATGTAGTACCAATGAAATAGGAAATAGTATGCAATCAGTACATCATTCAAATTCAGAGTGGGAAGGTATGTATTTTTGATAAATAGTAAATGTACGTTCACTACCGTGTTCGTTTCTCAAACATTTTACTCGGAATTTTCAACTGCTGGTTGCTAACGGACCGTAACTAGATAGTCTACATCTATTAACAATCAATGTTTTAACAGACGTATGCCAAGTTTTTCTTTAACCGCATCATTCTTCCAATTTTTGATTCTAAAACATCATGAAATGAATGAATCTAATGTTCATTGTTTAAAATTATCCTTTTTCTGTTAAATCCATTTATACATGCAATCTGTTAATGTGTATTTTATTTTATAATATTGTATCATATTACTATCGTTTATTATCACATTCAATAGAAAAAGGATTGTGTTTCATTTTAACAAATCTTTCCACATTGTCTAAAGAGAAAATCCTAAATGCCAAGTTTTTTATATTTTAATTCATTGAGTTGAAATGGCTGGGAAACGTGTTACGTAGGCTCAACCACTAACTGCCCCGACGTGTGATGTTTTATGGTGTAAGAGTAGGTTGGAAGAAAACTAGGGCGGCCAGACCAAACCATGGTACAAATCCATGAAGTCACTGACAAGTGAACTGAGCCATGTTGCTTAGTGTAGACTAACTGGTTTACGTTTGTGCATGAGAGCGAATGTCTTGAGTTTGAACGCTGCGCACATGGTCGCGCTAATGAAGAGTCCCATACTACAACAAAACCGCTTCCCAGTTTTTTAATGATGGTTTGGTCCAGACTGTTTTTATGTTAGTATTCAAAAATAAAATTTTTGTTAGTAAACGAAACTTGTAAAAGTTAGGGAAGTGGAAAGATGACTGTCAGTAAGGTACTAGTATCTAGGTTCAATCGTTTATTTTAATTAATTAATTTAAATAAGCATTAGCACAAAGAGACACCAAAATGTACATGGGCTATACAATAAGGAAATGAGATCATGAAGAGTTAGAGAGAGAAAAGCGAGTGTAATAATTCTTAAAAAACACAAAATATAAATTAATGTATGTGAAAGAAAAGTGACAATAATAATAATAGTAGGAAGAGCAGTTCAGTCAATAACTACAACCAGGATCTATTCCTTCAGTTATAGAAGCTTCTTTCACTTATATGAAGAAAACAGAAAAAATTCACAGCAGGACTGCCACGGCCCCCCATTCTGAACCATATCTGGTAACGTCTCAAGCTACCGTTTCACTACCTTGGGAACTCCCGTGAGGGAGTTGTGAAGGATCAATAGAAGTCAGTCCTGTACAGCTTTCTTTCATACCACGGCGCCATGTCATGCACTGACCACCTCTACGCTCCATCCAACCGCTCCCAGAGTGGGCATATAATGGACTTTGCAGAATTCGCTGGAAGTCATTCATAGTAAATGTTCAAATCACCAAAGTCAGTGTTTCAAGATGGTGACACCAGTTTAACTACTGAAGCTGTGCCCGAACAAACGATGCTGAACCTCTGCTTTACTAACATGGTGTTACTACTGGATGTCAGCAATCCTTCAGAGACAACAATGATCCAATATAGAGAATATGCTAAACTCAGAGAGGCCAAGTTTTACAAGCATAGAGCAAAACTCCCCCAACTGACGCGTTGTTGATCCGACCTTTTACAGCTAAATTAACATTACAAAGGCGCCAAGATTGGCGTAAAGCGCTTTGGTTTTCACCATACTTAAATTGACCTTTTCACTTACGTCACCACCAGCACTTACACATCTGCACAGACTTGTTAATAGATTGTAATTGCTCACTACCAGAAGTGAGTGCAGGTACAGTCTTGTAAAGTTACTTTACACTTAGTGGGAGTGAAGCATATGCCGTACCTACAGATACATTTGAAACTCGTCCCTCTTATTTTGATTGAGATCTTGAACCAATTTTGGTTTAAGCTTCTTTATGTGTATGCATATCATCAGCTCCAACACTAAAAGTGTGACACAAAAGGAAAGTTCACAAATCTGTACTTAAAAAACGAGTTACATGAATAATGCTGTAATTTCGTGTACTCATAAATTTTACACGATATATACTACTCAATAATACTGAGTAGTTAAAAGCACATTTTCAATCAGTTGTCTCCTCTTGGTGTAAAACATAGTTATTTCCAAGTCATATACCTTAAGCTCATAGATACTTGTCTTATTGTTTTTTGCCTTGATATAAGTACTTAATGGAGACTTTTAACTCCTAATTATACAATTTGTAGACGAGTTATAAACTCTATACCTTTGTTTTGGTACTGAAAATGACAGAGAAAAGTTACAATATGATATTTTAGAATGAATAACCATATACCATAATTCGTTTTTTCTAGAATAAAAGAACTTTGGCTTGTAATGGGATCTAGGATGCGTATTTCGTCCCGATGTGAATACCGACATTATGATGAAGCCACACCTAACTGACGACTCCTGAATAATACGAAATACATGTCATGCTAGCCATAGTCCTTCTGTTTTATATAAGTTTTATCTTACTGAATGTATTAAAGTAACCCGCATAAAGTGCATATATGTCAACAAAGACTGGTCGAAGTTATTTGCATGTTATTTTTTTCATTCTGAAAATCTAAGTAACAAATTATAGTACCTTTCGGAAAACTTAATCAAGAGGATTTATTTTTTCTTACCCTTGATAATTAAAATGTATAAACTTTGATGAACCATTAATCTGACAAGTCATTTGTTTCTTTTTCACGCATAATTCGATTGTCAGCTTGGTTTTGCTTTATTTTTGTTTCACTTCGTTGTTCTTCTTCTTTGAAACAATTGGAAATTGCAGTTTATAACAATCATAAACCATAATAATAGTAATAATAACCTAATTTTTGGTGGAGTTTTGTTCTCTGAGCTGGATGGTTTGGTGGTGGAGCTTTCATCGTTCTTCTGAACGACATCATCAGCGCAAGCTTTAGATAGAAGTCTGAAGTTTGTGCTGATGATGTCGTTCAGAAGAACGATGAAAGCTCCACCACCAAACCATCCAGCTCAGAGAACAAAACTCCACCAAAATCATCCACCTGAGCTACAAATCTTCTTCACCATCTCAATAATAACCTAACAAATACAATTACTGAATCCTACTAAAAGTTTTAAAAGTATTATTTATCAGTAGAGAGTAGCTCTTAGACGAGTAAACAAAATTGCGTGCTTTATTTGATTCTAACTCACTGGTTTAACATAACTGTGCTTCGGGCATTGTAATCATATGTCTTATTGAGGTGTTTTGGATAAGAACAACAAATACCAGTCTGTAAATTATCTATGTCATTCACTGAAATGCTTAGACACTAATTTCCATACCTCTTTCAGGTCAATAAAAGTCGTCTACTCTTCTGCTTTAAATAAAGAATAATAGACGATAAATTTAAAAGCTTTAGCTTCAAAGTTTAATATAAATCATGATTGTATCCATACAATTATACGTGGTCTCATGATTTCAGAAGGCTCTGGAGAAAAAAATACACCAAGATCGGCAAACAGATTCGTTAATTCTCCACATAAATTAAGGTAAATATACCAGATCTCTTAAAAATTTCCACACAAAAAAAACAACACTTATTGGCATAAGTATTTCTAAGCATTTTACACTGACTACTGGATGCATTTTTTCCGAAGAATTCTTGAGTGATCTTACATGAATAAAAATTTTTATATCGATCAGATTAGAAGGGTGTTATGTTGAGATAATTGTGTTCAACTCATTTGTATTCATTTTTCAGCATGTTAATATAACGTTTATGAATTTCTTTTTAAGCCAAACTCCAATATTAATCTTACAAAATCTGGAATTTCTGTTAATAAAATATCACATTTAAATTATATTGAACCATATAATTTGGATTTACGTACTGTTCAATGTCCAAAGGAACATAGTAATGGTGTTGATGGTGGCGGTAATTTGTTGTCATCTCGTGTAACTACACTGACAACAACATCAGTATTAAAACTGGATCAGCTTTTCCTATCTTAGCAACAACAACAACAGTAAATTCTGATATTTCATCCAATGTTACAAGTTCATCTAATACTGCTATAACATCTGTTTGTTCGAATTTATTTGATAAACAGTTATCAACAAATGGTTTACAACAAACAGTAATTATGTCTTTGACGCATCCTCATTCTTTGTCTTCTTCTTGTTCTACCACTACTACAATTTTTACTAACATTAATCCTCTACTATCTTCTCAGTCGGATTCATCTGTATTCCTAAAATCAAATAAAATTTTAATGTCTTGTAATGGTACTAATAATATGACTACTGTTGCTGCTACTGCTAGTAGTAGTGCTAATCAACCAGATGATGAACATATTGAATATCGTGAAATTGATCCAATCGGTACAAATGCTTTAGCTATTGTCAAAGAACGATTTGGCTAATCTAAACACATAAATTTATATATAAATATTTATCCTATAGATATATATCCTTCTTTGTTGAATATGTTCATAATAAGATGGTAACTATACTGTTGAATTCTTATAATTATTAATAATATTATATATGGCAGAAGATTTCAATATCCGTTATTGTGTACTCCGTTTGTGAAGAACATAAATGATGAATATATGTGTATACAAAGAATAAACTTTTACTGAGATCAACTACCACATACACACACACACACAGAGACGCAGGCATACGGTAGCAACACGAGTATACCTATATAAATTCTTCCTTTTGTATTATGAGTTGCTTTTTATCAATCATTCAATTAGACAATAATATAAATTTATAATGGGTGTATATATATATATATATATATATATATATATATATATATATCGTCTTTTATTACATATCCCACTTTCATGAATTTGGATTCCCGCATTTTCTGACTATGTATTCTAATTTATTTTAATGTGAATACGACCTCATATACACATACACACACACACACACGTTCGAACACTTTTTCAATGGTTAATTTTTATTTATAATTTGTTTGATTAATCAGAAATTTTTACATTTTTATTGTTATGTAACATTCCATTAGAAAATGAGAATTGACCAGACAAAAAAACTACATTTTCATAATCATTTCTATTGGTTGAGCCTTTGTCAGTATGAAAATGTAAATTAATTTCAGATGGGTTTTGTGCATATTACAGTAATTTCAATGGTTGAAATCATGAGCCAGTTGAAGCTAGATCACCATGGAAAACGACCGTTCAGTGCTTCCAGGTTTTCCATGGTGGTCTAGCTTCAACTGACTCATGATCTTAATCATGTAAATTAATTATTCAATCTAAACAAAAATGTTCTGCTCTTATGTGAAATTCTCTATTATTTTGGTAGATTTTTTTATAGTGGCTAAATTTCAACATCAATGCCAATATGCTCATTTAGCTTAAGTGTCAAGCTATTACTGTCTACGTCAACGGTTTGAGATATCTGTTTGCTTATGTTGATTTATGATTGTAAAAGTGGAAGTTTAAGATCAGTGAAGACATATTTGAGTATCAATGCTTTTGAAGCACTGTTCTTGTATGGTGTTGCAATTTATCATTGTAGGATCTAATTAATCTGTCGACGAATATTCCAGATAAGTCACAATTGATTGATCACTGGGTTGCGATCAACGTGATCGATAGCATCCGGTCTACACTAATAAGGACTAGATACGCATGACATTGATCGTCACCCAGTGATCATTCAATTGTGATTACATCTTAGTCCTATAGGAGGTCGGTCGTGGCTCGGATAGGTCAGTGGTAACGTCTCTGAATGTGAAGCTAGGTGATACGAGATCGAATCCATTAGGGAGCACCACTTCCCTCAAGATTACAGGTACACCTTGCTGACGAGTGCCAAGTAGTACGAAACCCGGGTCCAGGGTCTCCTGTCGACTACCTCCAACCACCATCTAATTCCAGATAAGTCCCTATATTTTACTTATAGATTCTTAGCAGGGCTATAGTCGAAAAAGGTAACTATTTATATTGTCAGTAATTATGTTTTTTTCTAAAATGTATATTCATATAGTTGGTGTAAAAACACAAAATAGTAAAGTCAATTACAACGACAACAATAAATACACGCCTATCAAACACTAGTTAAGAGACAAAAAAAAAATGAATCAATAAATAAAGTTGTATTAAAATAATGATTGGTGCAGTTTCATGATTGGCAATTAAGTAAAACGGGTTAGAATAATAATCAGCCTGATACTAAATAAGTCCTAAGTGGTGAGCGTTTAACTCAAATATTATTGGTTGATTCACTCTTATCGATATAGATTAACAATCAATGTACCTAAGATATAGTAATAGTAGATAGTTGTGATAAAAAGTCATGTACTACAAGTTATGACCACTAAAGACGTACTTATTATGAAAAAACCCTATTATACCGAGAATTTTAACCTGATAACAATTAAAAAAGTCAGAATATGTGGTACTATTATAAAAGATGAGTTGAGAGCAGGGTTCGTAAATTTGGATTCATATGGTTTTCAGTGTAGGGAATGCTCTTAGAAACAATCTTAACGAGGGTCGCATGACTAGGAAACATTCTTCACCACCGCATGTATTATCATGAAAAATGGGCCGTGAATATCAGCGATTAACATACTATGACGTAAAGTTCATATTTCATACTTGAAGTCCCGAATAGTAACACATAAAAATAAAACACGAAGTAGAAAATATGAAATATTAAACAGAGGTTGTTCACTGATTGCATAACTTTTCAACAGGTCAAAATCCACTCCAATGTACGACAATCATAAAACGGTTAAATATAATTCAAACTACTGAATAACAATAAGTAGTTTGGTGTAAAGCAGGAAATATCGATCTTACGTGAAGCAATTTGAAAAAACAGTCGATCTTGTCCCTGAATTGGGAGGGAATAGTATCTCTATTACTTTCCTATAGTCTCAATAATAGCCAGATTTCCATTATTGGCTTACTAGATAAGTCCGGAAAGTCTGCCGCTGCCTTTTCCATTATTTTCCTTTCGCTACTCACCACGACTCAAGACCATTAGGTAGGCATTTTATCAGCCAGCAACAAAGCTGCTTTCACTACTCGTTGTGTTTTTAGCCAGATTGGATGAGTTTCGAAGGATCTATTAGTTCAGTAAACACTACTCAAGCTTACTGGTCTCTTAACCTTTAGTTTGAAGTTGCTGGTAGATACCGCTGCTGTTAGCACAGCTGTTTGAATATCATGGCAGACTATTTCGAGGTGGATATCGCTTACAACTTTGGCTAGTTCCTTTTCTAGTTGTACCTGAAATGTATTCTTGACTTTATCATCATTAGGTTTAACATCAAGGGTTTACTCGCTGTCAATTTTCTTCATCCAAGAAAGCGCAGGAAAGTACGTGCTCGTACTAAAGCATGATCAGAGTCTAAACATGTGCTTTGGAGCAATTCAGTCTTCTACGGAGCCTCTCCAACGGTGGCTAAGGGTGATGTGGTCTATCCAAGTTCATGGTTGAGTCGATTATGGAGGTGGTTATAACAGATAGTGTTTTCTTTTATGTTTAAAGTTAAAGCTTGCTAGAAGCATATGATCATCTGAGCATAGTTAAAACATATGGTCTTCATTGTCTGGTACCTGGGTCACGACACCGTAAAAGTCATCTAAGTGTCTTTCAGATAAATCAATGAAAAAAGTTGAAATTTTTATCTAAAATCTGTTTACTAACTAGTGGAATAAAATATCAAAAATCAGTAAGTATCCACAAGAATGACTGAACGTTGAACGAACTTTTTATAATACTAATGCTACTCGTACTTATAATAAAAATAATAACTACATGATTACTTTACTATTATTTACAATCAGTGTATTAAGTTCTGTTTCCTTTGTAATGAGTTAACATGTAATCATATACATGTACGTCCTTTGGGAGTTCTATAAGTCTATGAAATGCTGACAACCCTACGTCGCACTAAAGTAAACTTCGAATACTATATTATCCTTCGTAGAAAATGAGTAAATATTAAGTTGTAAGTAAGAATCTCTCTGTATATAAGTAGTGTAAATTTAACGTACAAGAGATTAATTTTGATAATTACTTTCTTTGGGCTAGTGCAAAATCACTTCCATCAATTATATGCAAACTAATTGAAGAATTGCAAAAAGTGGAAAATTCAAACATCATCTAAAAGATAAACTGAGAAATACTACATCAGATAGAATTATTACTCTCTTCGTCTTCAGGGACATAATTATTTATCATGAGCCAAAATGTTTCTTCACTCATTTCATTTATGAACATACCTGCGGCTGGGAACAAAAAGAATAGAGATCAGAGGATTTTTGAAATTTTTCAATCAGGTCAGGCAAAAATCAGTGAAAATACATTGATATAAATCTAATTTCTAAACCAATCAGAAAAATTATAAGGAATTATAAGGTCAAAGATAAATTCAAGGGGAAAGACAAAGTAAATGTACAGACAATGGTAGAACAAGAATCAAAACTACTAATCAAAATCATGGTTGATGGACCAGCATTGCAAAAACAACACCAATTTGTAATTCGATCGAATAATCATATCGTAAATACTCGTGTATTTTTTATGTAGGGAATTGATTGAAGTTGGACATGTAGACCGTTTAATGTAGGGTCAGTGTTCGGGAGTTAAGCGCTTTACGCGATATCTGAAGACTCAGAGACGAGCTCCTAATGTGGTCATAAATTCGTACTATGAGGGGGCCCATATTAGGACAAAACAGCTATCCAGCACTTTCCAGATATCCAGGATTATTACTTTTGTTTTCGGTCTTTGGTGTAAACCACAAGATTTCTTATAGTTTCCCAAACAATTTTCAGAAAACGTGTCTTTAGATTGGTAAAGTGAAATAATGAGACGACAATTAAGAAATCGTATAAATGAAGATTCTGATGTCAAAAAGATAAGATTGATCATTAAATTCGGTGTAGTAGTAATGAGATGATTTAATTTGAACATATTTTCATTGTATCATAGCATAATGAACTTATTACTCGTATGTACTTGGTAATAAATGAAACACGTGGTAATTTTACAAGAAAATTTGCCAAAAGTAAACTATACTGGAGACCTTGAGCGACTTATTAACCAGTTAAAAAGCAGTTTAGTTATCAAACAATTATAGTACAATATAACTAATTAACCTTTATATATTGAATCAAAAGAAAAGTTTTTCTATTTTAAGAATCGTGTTAGTGTTGTGAATTAGGGTTTTAATCCAATAGTTTTAGTTATAGACAGATATCAGCTAAAATGTAGAAGAATTTGATTAAGACTTCGAGGTTGAGTTCAAGTCATAAGTTTGAACTACGAATTAGGGTTAGAGTTTACATAAATAACAGACATCAGATATGGTACAATAAAAATTAGCTACCCTTTTGTTAATAAAATTAAGAAAGTTAGAAGAATATTATTTAACTACATAAACAGCCTTGAATATTCATTGATTCATATAAAATATTCCAACAAAATAACCTACATCAGGAGCAAGTATTTCTTTTAATTTAGCTCAAACACCATACCATATTCTGTTTGGTTGTGCAATAGATATTTATTAAGAATTTCAGTGGTCTTGAGTGCTGTTAGAGGTATGAGGGCGGTTATCACTTCACGGTTGCCCATACTGTGAAAAGGTTCTTCTGGAGCTACCTGAAAAGGAAACTGGGTTAGAGGTGGTCTTAGTGACCTGAGAGCGTGACCGTAGTGCCCGAGGAACAACTGCTTGAGGTCGGACACTCACGACTTTGAGTAATTTTTTTGTTAGCTCCGTACTTGTTGAGACCTTACCACCGGAGACGGATATCCGTGGGATAAGGCGAGGTGTGTATTTTTAGGGTCTACCTTTTCTAACCCCACCCCTCCTTGTGGGAGGGCAGCATCGCTGTTATGCTGGTTGTCTGAAGGAAACACCTTACTACCATCACACCTCTGTACAGTCAACAGTACGACTTCGCCTTCAGACCTTGGGTTTGCTGCTTACCGCTCTTCAACCGACCTGTCTGGTATGGTAGGACCTTGAGGAACGGTTGTTCCAGCCAGTATAGCTCGGTTACTTCATCTCGATAGGCAAGCCCGACCACCACATAAAGGTAGCAACAGCGGTCGGGTCGTAAGCTACTAGTATTTGACCGCAGTTCCCTTAAAAATATTGCCGACATCTGTTGGGATCACCGGTTAAGTAATAGTGAGGTTAGACGCAGGGTATTAGGGAATGATGGTTAATCAGTTGATGAGGTTGTAAATCTTCATCGACTGAGATGTTTGAGCCACGTGTTACGCATGCCTGAACACCGATTACCACGTCGTGCAATGCTTAGTGTAGGGGATGGTTGGAAGAAAGTTAAGGGCGGCCAAACCAAAACGTGGCATCAGTCCACAAAGTCACTAACTTATGGTCTGAGCTATGTTGGTAGATGCAGAATACTTGGTTGGGGTCCGCGTGACTATCGTAACCAATGGTTGGAGTCTGGGTGGCATGGCTCATATCTTTCTTTCTACGAACTAATTCTTTCTTTCTGTACTATATTTTTATATGCAATCTTTCTTTTATATATTACCACCATCGAATTAACTACTTTTATGAATCCGGTGTTCATCTTGTTGTGTTAATGAGATATGGCAACATAGACCGATGCATATATGTGCCTGGTCCTACGTTGTAGCTGACTGATTATCAATTTCAATGATTTTAGAAACTTAATACTGCTAATTTCAACTTAGTTCATTAAATATACAAGCTATCTTACAATAGGTTTTTGATTTCGGGTAAATAAAGAGACCCTATGAGGTACCATCTTAATTCTGATTGGTTCATTCAAGGTTGACATTATCTTTTACCAATATTTTCATTGAACATACTAACAATATTTCTGATTGGTTTAAACATTAATATTATTTTTTCGTTGCTTAGCACTGATACATTTTCTTAGAACAATAAAAGAAAATTAGTTGATAAGATGATCATTATTTCAAATCATCGAAAATGACTAGAAGTACAATTAATACAGATGAAAGTTATATAGCATATCTTACAGAACGTATGTTTATATAACTATTTTATTGAAGTTTCCTATTTTTTATTACTAATTATGTATCAGACTATTTAAATATTATTGTACCATACTTTTAGTCCTGGGTTCGAATCCCGTGAGCGGGATCGTGGATGCGTACTGCTGACGAGTCCTACAATAGGACGAAACAGCCGTCCAGTGCTTCTAAGTTTTCAGTGGTGGTCTAAGTTCAATCGGTTCATGATCTCAATCAAAATTAATTTATATTTTAAACAAGTTTATGGCAATATTATTGATTTGTGTAGTTAAATAAATGAAATTAGATATCGGGAGTAATACGAAACTTTTCAACACTACTTTAGATAGTAGATGTAATATCACTTACGTTTGTTACCTCTTGTGAAGGACATAGGCTATCTACCAGAATTCTCCTGGGATGTACATTCCAGTTTGTTCTCTGCTATAGTAGACTGTTACTTATGGTATGCAGCCAATGTACATTGAGTATTCTGCCTAGGCAATTAATTGTTCATAAATACCTTGCACGTTTTTGATGATGGTTACGGAAGTTCCCCAAGTTCCAGTTCTGTACATTAGAACTGTCTTAACGTTCTCACTGGAGGTTTTGATATTGATGTTGACTGTTAGTTGTACTGAGTTCCATATGTTCTCCAACTATAGGAATGCCATCCTTGCTTTGTCAATTCTTGCCTTCACATCTGCATCAGATCTTCCTTGCTCATCGATGATGCTACATCTTTCAGCGTTTCTCCATCACGTGTGATTAAATCGGTGTTCTCTGCGTTTGTATTCCTAATCTTACTCTATTCTCTGTGGAGTAAGAATAAACCCGGGTTCTACAGGTGGATAGCTGTGTCTCGGAATAGGACTCTTTAGTGGCCCACATCAACGACCCTACACTTAAGACCTTTTCTCCCTCTTTTGAACGTTTAGCGTTCAGACCGACAACCAGTAGTGTATATATCAAACGACAATCGATTAGCAATATCGTGAATTCAAAATACTTATGGTGCAACTGGTGTTCTATTAAATTACTGTTGAAAAGTCGAATTATCAATATAAAATTGAGGTGACGAGATTAGGTAAATATTGACCAAATCAAGTTTTCTGACACTGGATGAATAATTGATTATATGTATGTTTTTATGTCTACGAAATAAATGTGTCATATTATGGACAAGATCCAACCAGAATAAATCGTTTATCGCACAGCAAGTGGTTAATCATGAACAAAAAACGAAGGCCTAAAGTTATATATATACACCATAACTTAGTTAAATAATGAATAACGTGCATCACTGTATGAAATTTTTAAAATACTTGTTTAGAAACGTGATTAACCTTGCAACTGAGACAGCGTCAAGTAAAGTATGTAGGTATATAACTTACTCATTTGTGTACGAAAGTCACTCAGTCCTATGACTCCTTAGCTAGTTTAAGTCCAACTTGGTGGCACTTCCGATCCATCAATGATGATTAAATAATGACTAAATATTTACCAGGCAAACGAAAGAAAAAACAAAGGAAGAAAACTACTACCAAGCTATTATAAATGACACCCACTTAATCCAGTTATTTTAATTATCAGAATTGTTCACTGTTGATTTAGACATGTTGACGAAATGGTCTTCTGCTCGATCCTTGATGGGGCTATTAGTACGGTGACGTAGGTGCCCATTGCTGAAATATCTCAAGATTTCAATGAAAAAATTGTCAGCGAATTATCATGAAATAAATACAGCGCTGAACACGTAATTATTTCGAATCTTAAACATTACCAAAATACTTTACGTCTCTTCCCACTATAGTCATCAAAAAAAGTTCATGATAGATTACCAAAAGTAAGCATTGTATTTGTAAGATATAAAGCCAGAGATAATTGCTACATTCCGAGGTCGTTCATGTCTGGTACTGATGCATACGACTCCCATATGTGAGCTTACCTACTTAGGTGATAGAATGAAGAGTAGGGAGTTTTTGCTACCTAACCGGATTGAATAAATAAGCACAATCCATCCATAAATATGTGTCTATCTCCTACAGAATATTAAACCAACAGTTTATGTCTTTCTCCTGGGGAACTTAAGCCAGATCTTCACCAATAACAAACTCCTGCCAACAACTGTTGCTTAGCATTTGGTCCAGCCTAGCATATTTCATATTTTTCTTGAATTTATCTGTAGAAATCAATGTGTGGATATATATTAGTAGGTAATGAAAACAATTACAGAATTAGATATCACTTTGCCCAGCTCAATAATGCTCACTAACCGTCAAGATACAAAAAGAGTGCTTTTAGAACAAGTACAATATGAGTAAATTATAGACACCAATGGTTAATTTTAAAAAACAATTAGTGATCAGTGAAGAGTAAAGCTTTAAAAATAATCCTAGAATTGTTAGTGATAATAATGAATTAAACACATTACACAAACAAAACTTCTTTGTTATAGATGATCACTTTAATTTATGTATTATTTATGGAACTTATAGTTTATTTTCATTTTACGATTCATAACTGTTTTTAAATGACCTAATTCTATGTGATATATTATGATTCTACATTTTATGGTTGGTAATTTCAAATGATTATTGCCGACAAACATGGGAACCATTTTCATAAGATTAAATATATGAATAGATTTAAAATCAACAAAACGTTTAGTAATATGTGACAATTACTAGCAATTGTAAAGTTTTGAATTTTTTAATTGTTAATATTCGGGACTGCTTTTTCCGAACCAGTGGTCGATAACGTTATAGTATTTGAAGCAATAGACACATGTATGCATTAACGTTATGATGCCGGTATGTGAGAATTCCTATATAAGATGAAACTCGCACATTAAATACTATCGTTAGTCTTGATAAACTTCATTTTGTAGAGAGAAACAGCAAATTGGTAGACTTCAATACATTTGATAAATACTTTCTAGAGGAAATGTTAAGAGTAATATGACTATCTTTTTGTTTATCTTAAAAGCTAGTAAACTACTATTGTTGATATACTAATATTCCCTTTCTCTTGTGTTTATCCTTTCAACAAGAACAAATCGGTGAATTATACCAACCACCTACAAACCATCAATATATTCCACACTTCTATACAACTCGAACAGGTTTAGAATGTCGTCGTTATTTTTGTGAGGTTTGTGGTCCACTTGCTAAATCTAATTTAAAAACTGGTTCACCGAATGTTAAATATACTGGAGCACTACAACGTCAATTAGATTGGATTGCAGGTACTACATTACCAGATGCTTTAACACGATCACATGAAGCAATGATGTACTATAGTGATCATAAACATTGAGTTGTTACGCAGTAATAGCAATCAAAATATGAATGTATGATTGATATCTGTCAGTATGAACATAAGTGTATCAATTAAACACACATTTTCTTCGAGTAAACACACAAGATTTACAGGAACATTTACTTTGAAAAAAAATTTCTTGTAATTTTAGTTTTAGCCTAATTTTATTTACAATGCTCACACAAATTATTCAATACCAAAAGGATAAAAAAAAACTTAAAAATGGGTTATGTTCCGTAAACTATTTTTACCTAAGCAATGAGGTTATATATACAAGGCCTAATCAAGTATTTACCACGAATGTGAGTATAGATACACGCACAATATTGCAAAATACATCTTTCATGCACGGCTTCTAAATGCAACTCTGATAAGAGTAGATAACTTTAATAGTTTTCAGGTACGTTCAGAACTGTCTGCAGAAAAACAGAAACTGTCTTTATGATTTTTTTTTCTATTTTGCCCTTTGATTAATACAGATTTAAATACTCCATATAATACAACGAAATCAATTTAATTAACAAATTTTCAACTGGAAACCATTTGAATGTTATTTCATAACAAAGTAGCTTGAGGTTGACTTTTATTCTGATCTCAAGAGAGAGTGGTGCATAATGAATGTGAAATGTAAATAACAAGGAGAGTTAAATCTAGAATTTACATTTGGTATTCATTGAAAGTCTTCCTTAAACAGAAAGTCAATTAATCTAATTTCTAAAGTTGATGAAGTTTCAGATAAATATCTTTCAAGGGTATTAAATTACGAATATCAATTGTATACTAGTCCACTAGATAACGTTTCTATTTTGAAGCAACGAAAGGTATGTTTGAGTTACAGTGGGATGACTTATTAAAAAGATGTTTCGTTAGTAGAACTCTCCTAACAAAAATAATCAATAGAAAATATGAAAAAGTTGTAAATACGTACATTTTTATTTTAAAAAAAGACAACCGTTATAGTAACAATGCAGGATAGATTAGAAGAAACTATTCAGGTCTCCATTCATCATTTTCCGGTAGTTGATTGAAATATGATTGAATTTGATTCATATCTACTGAGGTAAGATTATTTGGATTCCATTTTGGTGTGTTATCTTTATCAATAAGACAAGCACGAACACCTTCATAGAAATCAGGATTTTTAGTCATTTTCTGTGATAGGCGATATTCCATTTTAAATTCATCTCTAAACGATAATTTAGAACCAATCTGTAATTGACGTAATGTAACCTTAAAAATCAAAATAGATAGTGATATGATGATATTATTAACTAAGAATTTGTTGTAAAGAAACAATTAAATCATGATACATAAATAAGGTAAGTTTGTAATCCTTAGTATCTCAAGTTAAGTATCAGAAACATACACATTAGAAAAAGGGATTTAGTCAGTGTTGGATTCCAAGGGTTTAATATACTGCATGTACCATATATATACTTGGCATAGTCTAATATGCCACCACGGTAGAACTAAAGAATCACAATGAATCCATAAATTACACTAAATTAAAGCTTTCTCTAAAACAACCAACGTGCTACGAAATGCGTTAGTTTGATTAAAAGAAAAACATCCATTTGATTTTGACACAAAGATATGTCTACATAACACAATGCATTGATTGTGGTTTCTGTGTCGAAAAGTTACCTCGTGAAGCCATGACTTGTATCGAGGAACATGTAAGACACATAAAACGACCTAATAATCCAACAGAGATTGAAAATCTACAAATCAAATCAGAAATAGCAGTACATGCAATTTTCAATAATCATCAATAGGACATAAATACTATCAAAATAACTTGAAAAGTCTTTTTTTACTTTAAAGAAAATCTAGTGACTGAAGCTTTCGATATACTGGAAAACACTACTGCACTCAATATAAAGAAGAGTATAGCTATCAATTTGTTTTGTTTAAACTGACATAAATTCAATTCTTTGAAGCGACTTACAATAAGCTACGAAACATTAGAAATCAGATTTTCTACTGATTGGATATGATAAATTTATATTTATTTCAACCTACTAATGCTTAAGCAAAGATGGATAGTGGCTAGCAGTGGAATCCAGGACGCGCGTTTCGTCCTGTTTGGGACTCGTCAGCTGGATGTGCCTGCATCTCAGAGTTGATGTTCACTCTGGGACTCGAACTCAGTACCGTTCGCTTCAAACGCCATCGCGTTATCCACTTAGCTACTGAGTCCTGATAGCCACTTGCTTGTGCAATGGTTGAAGTTTAATTCACTTGATATCGTTTTACTTGAATCTTCCCATTGATGCTTTAGGACTGAAATTGATCAGTCTCTTATTGGCATATGTGCATACTGTGCGTATGCCACGATATTGCCTTAATTTACAAGCATTATAAGCAAAGATGGATAGTGGCTAGCAGTGGAATCCAGGACGCGCGTTTCGAGTCCCAGAGTGAACATCAACTCTGAGATGCAGGTACATCCAGCTGACGAGTCCCAAACAGGACGAAACGCGCGTCCTGGATTCCACTGCTAGCCACTATCCATCTTTGCTTATAATGCTTGTAAATTAAGGCAATATCGTGGCATACGCACAGTATGCACATATGCCAATAAGAGACTGATCAATTTCAGTCCTAAAACATCAATGGGAAGATTCAAGTAAAACAATATCAAGTGAACTCTTAATGCTTAGATTATTTGGATCTATCATGACAAACCTTGGTAATGATATTATTTGAGATCGGTTGTAAGCACGGATTCTTATTTGAAAAAAAAAACAGTATAATGCCTGGATATTTCAAATAACTCTATAGTATTGCTTAATGTAACTCTACTTGCAAAGAACTCTTAGAAAAGAACTATAGATATCATGTGTCAATATTCTCATTAAATTCAAGTGAATGATAGTAAAGACAAACATAAAAGTTAAGGTCTAGAAATAAAAGGATGTTACAGATTGGAAGAGAAATCTGAATAGTGAATGAGTTCATTGTAATATACAAGATCTAACACCATATCACTATATTTTTTCTTTCAGAAGAATACCATGATGTCTACTATTTATAAACAAACCCCAAAATTAACGGTCAATGATTAACTAACTATCTATCTATTTGATACACTATGACTTCTTCTAAAGGAATATTAAACAAATTAAATATAAATAACCCAAACATTAATAGACAAGATAGAATGAAAAATGAAACCATACTTTTAATGAAGTAGGTGAACAACTCAATAATTTGTCATAAGTTTCTTTAGCCCAATGAATGACTTTCTCATGATTTTCTATATTCTGATAACATTTAGATAATTTTATAAGGATATCTTCTATAGTGACTGGAATCTCATGGTCACCGCCATCATCATTATTCTTATAAAAGCAAAATATTTCTGACAAATCGTCTAAAATATATAGAAGATCATTTGATACTGAAGAGTGGTAATAACTAGGCACATCACTACTAAATTGATTTATTACTTTGTCAATAGCATAATCAAATTCTGGTTTATCATCTGGACTACATGTAGATTTTAATTCAAGACTCATTAGTGCATTTTTGAAGTTTGATAACTATAAAAAAACGAATAGTGTGTAAAAACAATGACTAGTGATTTTTGTAAATAAATGTTTACTCACCAAATGATAGCGGAAAATCGAGACATCATGTTTAACTTATTCAGTATCGCTTAGATGTAGTTTGTTGCTTGACACTACTAGTACAGCTTTGAAAACACGTTGTTTAACTTTGTATATATAACCTAGAAAGCTAATTCGTAAGTCAAATAATTTCTTATAGGGTCAGGTTGTGCACACAAGTAACTTATTAGCTGACAATCCAGAAGATATATTTTACATTACTGCATTTAAGGATTTCTGACAAGTTGACATGAGGCTTTCTGTGAATAATTTTTAAACGTGTTATATGACCCACGAACAGCAATAAAGATTGAGTAGGATGCACTATATCTCTTGAAATGGACCTATGGGTTCGCACACGTATATTCATCGTCAAAAAGCTGTTTTTGTTACCTTTATACAGAAGATGGTGTTTGGTATGTGATAGTATTTATGTATGAATCAGAAACTACGTCTGTACCTTTCGACAGTAATAAGAAAATAGTAAAGCTTGAATTCTTCCGGACAGAAGTAAACACGAATACTAGTAAGTTTATAAGTGTTGTCATGTTTCTCGCTCAAACAAGACAATTTTTTCCATCGTAGGGGATGTAGTAAAAACAACACACAACTATATGATAAGTAGTAGGAAAATCAGAGCACAATTTTTGCCATGGTCAGTTAATAGTAATGTAGTGAACGAAGATTTGGTGGGGAATATCAAATTATAGTTTAATGTAAAATTACTGTCTTCACAAAATTTGAAAACTAAATATTAAATACTTTATTTGCACATCTTCCATCAATCATCCTTTACGAAGTTCATCGTTCCTTTGCTACTGTTGTTATTAAAATTACTCTCTGTTCACATTCTTCTTCTCTTCAATTTGATCTCAATCTTCTGTTGCCAGGCATTTTACTTTCGATTGGTTACATACTACTTATATATGTCAACATAAGTAGCATAAATCACAGTATGAGAGACAAAAATCTCATCCATCAGAATATTACTGAGCAAAATAAAGCTTTGGCTTAGTTTATACTGAATTGGAGTCATTCCTTGTACCATCAAAACTTGGAAAATCGTGGATAGTTTGTCATATATTCTGAAAATAGTTGGTAGCATGCAACTATAACTATTCTCCGAAAGAATCTTATAAAACACCCAGGGTACATGCATAAATTTTCAAAAATGTCCAGTTTATTTTAAATGGGTGATACTTGCAAGTCAAAGGATAGTATGGTTTATTATGTCTTTAGAAGTGTCACCACCGTTAAAAAACACATCTATTTTGATAAGCTACTACTTCTAATCAGATAGCCATTATTAATAGGTTATAAATGCTTAGTGAACATTTGATTAAAAACCACTGAAAATGAGAGAGAACTGAATACTCGCACCCTATTGGAAAGACGCGATCATAAGATAATACCAAAAACCATAAATTCAGTGCTTGTCACAAGCACGGTAGCACTTAGCCACTAAGACAGAATTTATTGATTCGCAGTTTCCAAATCCACTCAATTCATAACATACTGCAGCGAGTAGCTGTTAGATCACTATTTTTGGAAAAAGTAGTGGCTGTTTTTGGCTTTTCCAAAAAATTTTTATATATATCATCAACATGAGATGTAAATCAAAAACTCAGACAACAAATACATTATGTTTTCAAAACTAATAATTAAAACAATATGAAAAGATTAAACCGTCAACTAACATCTTTAGAATGAATAAAATGTGTAGCAATACCGGCCCATACAGTATTCATACTAGATAACTTATATCCAGTTAGTGCTAAAAATAAACCAAGTCCTGGATGAGGAAGTCGTGGTAGGAAATAGCCACCACCAACATCAGGAAAAAAACCAATCATTGTTTCAGGCATAGCAAAAACTGTTTTTTCCGTAGCTATACGGTATCTAAAAAATATTAAAGTCAACAGGATTGGCAAACAATAAGTAAAATCAAATAAATAGAATAGATGGAATTAAAAGTAAAGAAGTAACAATGCTATAAGATTGTCTCAATGATTAGTAACTCAACTTACCTATTCGTTTAATGAGTATAAGTAACTAAAAGGATCTGCATAATGTGCAAAAATAAATTAACCTTCTAATCTTTAAAAAATCTATTTAGAATGGGCTATCAGGGTACCACTTTAAACGGAAACGAGACTATTTGAAAAAAAGGTATTTCCTCAGGTTTTCAATCGTAAGTCATTAAGATAATATAGAAGACAAACGGGGACAGTGTCGAACCTGACATAAATACCTATCAGCTCAGGCAGCCATTCTTTACACAAACGCCAAGAGAAAAATAAATAAATAAAAATAAAAAAACCAAAACTACTAGACAATTAAAAGAAACAACAAACAAGATATGAAAGAGAATAAAAAGTGCGAAACAATGCGATGTTCAGAGCTTACGCAAAAATAATGAATGTAATTAGACTTGTCGATTCACTCAATTTAAAATACCACATTTCATATTGATAATCACTCAATTCCCTGGCTAATGCTGTGTCATCTAAAAGTTCTCTAACTTCCTTTGGGTTTCCTTTATCCATTATTCCGACATTTTCCTGTTCGAATTTGTGGCCATAACTGTATATACCTTGTGGTATAAGAGATACGATGCAACGTTTCATGGCTGATTACTTTTCATACGGAAAAAGATGAAAGAGTCCATTTTGTTCACTGTAGTTCCTCCTATAAAAGCAAATTAACTATCAGACGTTAGAATATATTTTAGGTTATGTCTATGCATTTAGACAATCGTGAGTACATATTCTACCAGCAAAATGTCAAAAGCTTGGATAGAAATGACATCATAAAAGCCAAAAAATTTCTAGAGGCTTCTCTGGCATAGAGATAAATTGAACCCTAACTTATAGTTTTAAATTGATTGAGAGGGAGTGACCCACAAAGCTGATATTCACCAATCATATATGACACCTAATCATCATATTTATTTCAAGGGGTGAGAAGAATAATGTAAACCACAGTAAATGTCGAACACAAGTCAGAGTTTAATAGGAACGAGTAAAAGAGGCATAAAAGGCATTGAATAATACTGAGATAAAGAATGATGAAATTTGCAATATTGTGATCGATTTCGGATAGTGTTATCCATTGTCTCCAACTTTTTATCTAGATAAATAAGTAGTGGTCATAAAACAAGAAATATACACGAGTAAAACATATAGTTGTGGAAACATGGCCAGTAAAAAATTTTACCTTCCATGTACTGATATTCCTGCACCACCACCCATTGTGATTCCATTCAAAATAGCAATATATGGTTTGGTCATTACCCCAATAAGATGATTTAATTGATACTCTTTACGAAAGAATTCTTGAGCAACAATACTTCCTTTTTGGACAGCAGATGCAATAAAACGTACATCACCACCAGCGCAGAATGCCTTCTCACCAGAACCTTCTATAACAACAAGTGAGACCTGACATAAAGAAAAATTAGACGATTACCGATGGATCGTGATTCCAGTCTTTTAATTTGGAATGAATAATTCCTAACATTTCAAGATTCAGGGAGTTGTGAACTTTTGGGCGGTTGAGAGTGATGATACCACAAGACTTGTGCTGTGAAATCAAAACCACATCCGAATTGTTGAACGTACATGAGGCTGAACGAAAGTGTCTACATGCAATTGAAATTACTGCTTTGATTTTCAATAGTAGAATAAAGGAAGTACTGTAAGATGTTTTTCAGGATGATAACCAGTAAAGTGATTCAAAGATTACGTACAGCAATATAAGGATTGTAACGTATTTAATTTTTGAAAAGAAAAAGTAAAATAATTGAAAACATTCGACAAACGTGATAGCTCATGTTGAAAAGTGACATATTGTTACAGAAAAGCTTAAGTGCTCTGATTTCACTATTATCTGTTTTAAAAATTTATTCCTATCAAGTCTATCCAATCATTAAATATAAAAAGACCTTTAAAGTTATGATCGTATTGCTCAAATAAGGAGCCTAGCAACAATTTATTTATTTATTTATTTTAACACATAGATATTGGTACAAGGGGGCACCAAATACATATGCGCCACACAAATTTCATTCGATATGTGATACTCCCCGGGTGCCCAAACCGAAGCAGGTAGCGACCTAACACTACCATCACAAAAATAAAGAAATGACTACACAAAAATAATAGTTCTGAAACGAGGAACCACATGTGTAATACAGACTAGCCTAGAAGAAAGTGGAATAGCGTTTTGCGGAACTCATTGACAAAAGGACAAGTAGCCTGTTGTAAAATGAACAGAAGTGTACACTGGTTTTATTCAGTACATATATATTCACTCAACTTTCAGCCACTTTTAAATGATAGCAAGTGATACTGACAGGCTGTCAGAACTAAAGTGGGGGTTCGGAACAAAAGTTAGGTGCCTTAACCACTAATTCAGAAGAGTGAGTGGTAGAGGTCAGACATATTCATTTGAAACACATTTTCCAACGAAAATTTAAACCCAAGAGGAGCGAGTTACTTATCACCATAATTTCGCTACTCTTCCTAACGCGGAAAAATTCTTTGAAAAAAGGTGTTGATTATGAGATGAATTCAGGAATATGACGGACAATTAGCACTCTTAAACTAGCGCGAAACGGACCAAATTTTTATGCGTACTCGTAGTGACAGATTGTAGTTGAAGTGTCTGAGTCTGAAATCCAGATCCTCAAATCAACAAATTGAGTGGTAGCAGAAACACTTACTCACTCTTGGACTGTTGTCAGTAGATCTAGCAAGAATCTTAAGAACAGTGTCCTCAAACTACTTTAGCAACGTATATACCATAGAAGCGCCCTTCCCGTCAGCGTATACAAATCCCCCCATACATACACTGTATAGCGTGACCATTAAAGAACTCGATGTCTTTGGTCTGCTAAATAAGCTTGACATAGGTAAATCCACGGGCCTCGATGAATTACATCCTAGGCTACTGAAGGAATTATCTAACTTCGTTGCAAGCCCTTTAAGTACATGCTTTAACCTATCCGTTACGCAAGGTCGTTTGCCAGAAGACTGGAAGAACGCCATAGTAAGTCCTGTCTTCAAAACAGGCACGAAACACAAACCTGAGAACTACCGCCCCGTTAGCCTAACTAGTGTGGCTGTTAAAATATTAGAAAAGATTATTCGGAAGGAGCTGTTTAAGTATCTCGATAAAAACCGGATCCTCTCGGAGAAGCAGCACGGCTTCAGAATAGGTTATTCTTGTCTCACTAACGTATTAGTGGCTCGTGAAAGCTGGTGCGCTCTTAAGGACCAAAAGCTACCTGTAGACATCGCCTTCATTGATTTCAGTAAAGCTTTTTATAAAGTTCCGCACAACCGGCTGTTATATAAGTTAAGAAAAGTCGGGATTGGAGGCAATTTATTGATGTGGATAAAACACTTCTTAGTTGGGCGTCAACAAAGAGTTCGGGTGAACTCAAAGTTATCTAGCTGGGAAACTGTGCTTAGTGGAGTGCCCCAAGGTACAGTTTTGGGGCCAGTGCTATTCCTCTTGTACGTAAATGACCTTCCTTGTCTCCTATCATCATCGGTCTTGCCATATGCTGACGATGTCAAGATATGGAAAACGATACGATGTAAGAGTGATAGCTTAGAACTTCAAAATGACCTGAAGAGATTATCTGAATGGTCTCAAACATGGCAGTTGCCGATAAATACTTCCAAGTGTGTTGTGATGCATATCGGTCATCAAGGCACAGATACATACACGATGAATAACACTGAGCTACCTGTCATCCAGACATATAATGACTTAGGAGTTATCGTTAGTCAAGACTTAAAGACTACTGCACACTGCCGTGCAATAGCCGCCAAAAGTTTTAGAACGTTATGGTCAATACGTAGGGCTTTCAGTCATGTCGACGCTAAGACGTTTTTGACTTTGTATACAGTGTTCGTTCGTCCTAAACTTGAGTACTGCATACAAGTGGCTAGCCCCTGCTTAAAAAAGGACAGTGAGCTTCTGGAAAAGGTTCAGAGAACGGCGGCTAAGCTGGTTCCCGGAATAGCGAAGCTTCCGTATGAATCTCGACTGGCCAAGCTGAACCTTTTCCCGTTGTCATATCGCAGAACTAGAGGCGACTTGATTACAGTCTACAAATTGCTCAGTGATAAATTTGCGCCTAACATGCCCTCATTTTTCTTGTCTTTCAAAACAGAGAATTTACGAGGACACTCCAAAAAAGTTCACAAGCCGAGAAAAAATTACTTGTCAGCTGAATACCGACTTTCCCATCGAATCATCAACGAGTGGAATTCACTACCTCAGCACGTGGTTGAGGCTCCATCCGTCGACTCTTTCAAAAGAAAGTTGGATCAACTGAGACCACCATTGCCAGGACTAACATAGGCCATCGAGCCTCCTGTCCTTCCCAAACTGAAACTGAAACTGGGTAGTGATTCAACCATGGATATGCGTTCAGAAAAGGAATCAAGATAAATTTTCCTGAAGTTTGACAAAGCTAGAATTGTGTAAAATTACACCAAATTAACATATATATATACGATGGTTTGTTCATCGTTGTATTTAATAAGTGCCGGGACAAAGGTTTACGTACATGACTGAAACACCGTACCCGAAGAAGTGGTATCAGAACCGCCAGTGAATATCTTCAAGAAGCTGAACGTTCACTGGAAGACAGTCTGTCAGGGTTAACACAGGTTCACCAACCTAATATCCTTATTACTGAAGACTGAAGACATACCAAGTATTTGGTGAACTTCTTAGCGATTAATCGGAACTGGGTCACGAAAAAATTATAAGGCAAGATATTTCTTTAATAAACCACCGAAGTGTGAAACGCAACAAAAATTTGCCTTATTAAGACATATTTGTTGTGCATTTGAGTTAATTTGATTGAAAAAAGATTTTTGACATTCGTACGACGTGATGTTTAATGATCCAGAAAGTTAAGAAGTACTAATGTATAATGACGTGCTAGCAGTAATATACTAGTAGGTGTCAAGAAATCTTATTTAAACGAATGCTGTACGAAGTGGACACTACAGTTATAATTGCTGATGACTACTAGCAAGTTTTTATTAACTGGTGAATACTTTGAAACTAGACGTATATTACCTGGAAATATTCATAAAAAATGGTGATGAAAAAGATTACCTATTATCTAATATTCTCATTATTGAGAAAGTGCCAACAAGAACATAATAGATAACGAGAATCCAAAAACTAAGCGAGAATTTATCCAAATAGTAAATGAGTGCCAAAACATTGCAGTATAAACAAACAAAGATATTGAAGAGAAGGTTCCACACTATTTGAAACATTAGGAGTTTTTAAAACAAGTCGTGATGAAGAACTACTACAAACGATTTTTTACTATTTTTGTTGTGTACACGAAAAGTACCCTAACCATAAGATTAGCTGAGACAGTAGCACATGTTTCAGGGACATGTGAACTGGTGAGATGTAAGTTGAAATGCCGAAGGCAAGATATTGAAGTAGTTGTAGTTTATCGCAGTCCAGAATGTGTAGCAGATGATTTTCTCCTTAGTAAACTTAAGTCCTGGTGTAACAACGGTAAAAGCCTTGTAGTAGGCGACTTTAATGCACCATATATAAACTGGGTTAACTTAGAAGTAGGGTCATCCATATCGTCGTTCGACTCCAAACTGTTAGAAACCTCGATTGGACTAGCATTATTCCAACACATTAGAGATCCCACAAGATACGACTTAAGAAACTCTTCTCTTTTAGATTTAGTCTTCACACACGGTGATGACGTTGGTCAAACGGCTTTTCTCCCACCACTTGGGAGAAGTGACCATGCAGTCATCTTATTCAAATTCATGGCTGAGATTGCTTGTCAAACAATTGCGCCGGCCCGTCCTAACATATGGAAGGCAGATATGCAGGCAATTAACTCCGCAGCATCGGCTGAGAACTGGGAAATTGACTCAAAGGCATCAGTACAAGAGGCATGGACTCTATTCAGGCAGTTATACAATCGGGTAACTCAACCATACATACCCTGGACTGTCCCAAAGAAAAAGAAGCACGGACATCCCTGGATAGGGCGGGATATTCGACGCTTACTAAGACAAAAGAAGAAATGCTGGGATGTTGCCATCCGCCTTGGCACAGCGGGTACGATGGAACGCTACAGATCGATAAGAAACGAGTGTATAACTAAAATTCGGGAAGCGCAAAGAAAATATGAAATGCAGCTGGCAGAATCTGCACTCAAGCAGCCCAAGAGGATATTCTCGTACATAAACTACAGAACAAGGATTCATCATTGGATTCCCAACCTAATTAAAGTAGGAAGTGAATCTGAAATGATAGAGGAAGATCAGGAAAAAGCTGAGGTTATGGCTGACTACTTTGGGGCAGTTTTCACTCAGGAACCTCCTCTAGAGAAAGAACCAGACCCAATTACAGAGTCAACAAACCAGCTGCTCACCGTGGACTTCGACCAAAACGATGTGCTTAAGGCTCTTAGCACCCTAAACATGGAGAAGTCAACAGGACCAGATGAACTACACCCTAAAATCTTGAGACATATTGCCCAATATATCGCAGCCCCACTGACTGTGATATTCAAAATGTCACTTGACCAAGGTGTGTTACCTATGGACTGGAAGGACGCAATCGTCACTCCCATACATAAAACAGGTCTACGACAAGTTCCATCAAATTACAGACCCGTAAGCCTCACCAGTGTTGTAATTAAAATACTGGAAAGAATAATCAAACGGACCATAACAGCATTTATGGAAACCAATAACTTGCTGAACATGGCACAACATGGTTTTAGAAAGGGTCTATCCTGTACAACGAACCTCCTTATAGCTAGGGAGCTCTGGATTAATGCGCTAGACAACGGAAACTCAGTGGATGTTGTCTACATAGACTTCAGTAAGGCTTTTGACAAGGTGCCAACTAATAGGCTGCTATTGAAGTTGGCAAACCTTGGTATTGCCGGACCTCTTTTAAAATGGATTAAGGATTTCCTAGTAGGTCGTAGGCAAAAAGTAAGAATAAATTCCAAGTGCTCCATCTGGAGACCAGTACTTAGTGGAGTACCCCAAGGTTCCGTCTTAGGTCCTTTACTTTTTATAATGTACGTTAATGATCTTACAAGTATAGTACAGTCTCCAATGTTATTATACGCTGACGATGTAAAAATTTGGCGAGTAATAACTGGAGACAAAGACGCATTTACTCTTCAGGCGGACTTAAATAATATGATAAACTGGTCTAAAGAGTGGCTAATGCCTATCAACTCGGAAAAGTGTGTCTACATGCACTTGGGGGATTCAAAGGTTAATACGTACAACATAGGGGATGTGTCATTACCCGTAGTCCGGTCTCATAAGGACCTAGGGGTGACAGTGAGCAATGATCTTAAGACGACGGCCCATTGCCGGGAGGTCGCAGTTAAGGGGTTTCGAACCCTCTGGGCTTTAAAAAGGACATTCACTAAGCTTGATACTACCATGTTCACCACATTATACACATCCTTAGTGAGAACTAAGTTAGAGAACTGTGTTCAGGCTGCAAGCCCCTGTTTAAAGGTGACTCGGACATAATAGAAAAGGTACAGAGGGCAGCTACGCGTGCAATTCCGGAACTCCGGGTTTATCATATAAAGAGCGGCTTGAAAAACTGAACCTCTTTACTCTGTCCTATCGCAGACTAAGGGGAGATCTAATATTGATGTACAGAATACTGAGAAATGATTTCGGACCTAACTTATTCTCTCTCTTTCTTCCCACTAGATCGGGACACCTCAGAGGACATAGCAGGCGAGTAGAAAAGCCAAGAACGAACAAAATACCCGTGGCATACAGGTTTTCACACCGAGTCATCAATACTTGGAACCTGCTGCCTGAAGCAGTGGTGTCCGCACCTTCAATTGACTCTTTCAAGAGAAGACTGGACACTCACAGAAGCATACTAGAAAAGGAATAACATAGGCCGTAGGCCTTCTCTCCTTACTACACAAATCTGAAATCTGAAATCTGTTACTTCATTGTAGAAATAATGAAGTGGTTGAGTCAGTTACATCGAATGACACCGTTTACAAAACATTATATCCTGCGTATCACAGACACAAAAAAGATTTGGAGAAAGTGAATGAAATGCCGGTGTGAGGAAACTTGTGTATTTACTTTAGGACTGCAGGATATGAAGGTAAGAGGGCTTAGCTGATATTGTATGCTATTTCACCATCTTAAGTCAACAATTATGGGATAGAAAACGTCACTTATCTCAAGTATCTTTTGTCGACAGATCTCGTTAATGCAGTGTATAAAAAGGTGACAGATAAGAGTTTGTTTCTGATACGTTAATTCCATTTATACAGTTTGCGACTCATACAAAGAGGAATAGATATAAATTAATGAGGCATGAAGAACTTGCTCGAAATGTTGTTCATTGCAATCATCAGTACAGCTGCAAGTATACAACGAGTAATGTGGTCATGGTAACGGTTATTCATTTACACAACTGAGAGCACATTCATACCCAGACTAAGTAGGCATGAAAATGTTCCGAGTAAGGAGTAACTGATAAGGGAAAATTAAGTGTTGGATAGTTAAGTTAGATACGTATGTATACAGCATGCTCAATAACATTACAGTTAGACGTAAAATGGTCAGGAAACATTATGAATCGATTTATATCAGTCGGTCACATTAATTCACGATACCATTGTGTTTTTAGCAGTAAGCAAATCGCCAAAATAAATAGTCTTGTCAGTCTTCGACATTTGAGGCTGACGTCATTAGTTTCGCTGGACACACCTAACCGAAGGCGTTTGGTTACGCATCCGCACCGGACAACGAGTAGTTATGCCGTGCTACTCATCTCTTGCATCTGATAGCCAGCTTAGACTAAATGATTCGCGATATATTGATAGTTTTTCAAATATATCTCGAACCCCTTCACTTCTGTCTTCTGATTTGACTGAGTTAGCTTCCTTGATTTATAGAAATATTATGTGTAAGACGTTGTTAAACTGCATCTTTGGTGATGAGACCGACGTGACCTTGTACACCAAACAGCAAACTGTGGATCTGTTCCTTATCGAAATAATACATAGCAATTTTTTAATGTTTATTTTTACACATCGTGATACTGTTTTCATATTTTCGGACATCTTTTCTCGTTGACTGATATATTATACCTTCATCGTGAAGGAAAAAGGACCTTAGTTATTACAGATTAAGACACGTTCGCCTCCAAATTTCAGCTCATGACATTCTGGCCCGACTGTATAGGAGCTTGATTCCACTACACAGAAGCTGGCTTGCCTGAGCCCGGCATGATACGCCCACGTGTATAATCTTCCATGCTGTTAACAGGCACGTAATACCTAGTATGTTTACTAGTGATGCTTCTTACGACACTTTAAAGAAGGTTATCCTCAAAGGTGGAGATCTAACCGACTAGCTATTCTACAACATCGATTTGCAACACAGTTCAACAATAGAAATGTTGCTACGTATGCCAAAGGTCATTGATCAACGAACCTTTGGCGAGGGCTTGTTAAAACAGATGTTGTCTAAGCTTCTCCAACAGGCGTAGGTGATTCTTGTCTCATCTCAAAATGATGCCGTGTACAAACCGAACGTATCTGCCGATCGGATTCTGGAGATTAACAGAATCACAAACGCCGAGGTTTATTCTGTAAAATAAAAGCCGAAAACCACACAAAATGACGTCACAGACCTATGCCAAACTCTGACTCGTTATCTTAGTATTCTTCATAATCGAAGAAGCCACCAAAAACTGCTCTAAGGAGTTCTTCACGAAAAGGGTCTGTCTCAAGACCACGGAAGGCAGATAATCCAGATCGGTGGGGAACCACAATAGATATGGTAAGTCCTCTAGAAATCGCAAAAACATCACAGTTTCCCGAGCTTCAAACCGTCTTACACGAAAACGTTTTCGAGAAAGTTACCTGCCGATACGCGTCAACGGTAACCGTAGCTGGCGACCACAGATATTTGTTGTATATCACTGATGTGATGACAAAAGTTAGCTAACTCGTTGACACTGGAGCAAAAGTTAGAGTTGTTCTCAAACCAACTGTCTGCATGAACTAGTCTCCAAGTTACAGACAGCATATGAAAAGCCGATTGCCATATACAGCAAACAATATGTTTATCTTAACGTGGGTTTGTAGAATGATGATCCACTTCGATATTAATAGTACTGTAATGATAGACTTTATCCCAAAATTGTAGATTTGTCATGATGCAATTGTCTAATGTACAAGATCTTACGTGGAAGTCTTATCATAGTCTACGCCAACTTTTCGCATCGTAACAACCACCAATATATGATGTAGAACGAGCTTGCGCAAGAGACAGAACAACATATTTAATATGAA